TCCCTTGATTGATTTTTTCCTATTTATCCTGTCTATGGCTTATTTGCATGTTGCTTCCTCCATGAGACTGTAAGCTTCTCAAGGGCAAGGAATGTCTTTTGCCTCTTTTTGTATCCCTAGCTCCTGGCACAGTGCCTGATACATAGTAGCATTTGATAAACACTGACTAATTAGAAGAGGAAAGAGCTTTCTTCTCTTTGGGCCCAAGGGGCAGTGTGATAAATATTCTTCTGGCATGGGCCATCTTGGGAGCATTCTTTCCTAGGGTTAGTCATAATTGGCACTTCTTTTAAGAACTGCTTATATCCTTTAACCACTTATCTCTGGGGGGATGGCTTTTGCTCTTATGTATTTTTATTAGTTGTCTGTATATCTTGAATTTCAAACCCCTAGCAGAGAGATTTCATACAGATGCTTTCTGAGTTGACCCGATGGTAGTTCTTACCTACATTAATTTTCTTTGTGCAAAAGCTTCATAATTTCTCGTAATCAAAATGATCTATTTAACCTTTAAACATCCCCTATCATCTGTCTGGTTCCATGGGGGGGAGGGGGGCTGTGGTTAACATCTTGTTGTTTCAGTTGGAAGGAATTGAAAAATGAGAGGGCGCCCAACAATTGAGGAACTGTTGAAAAAGCTCTAGTATGTGAATACAACGGGATGCTATTGTGCCTTAGTATAAGAAATGATGAAGAAAATGATTTCAGAGAAATCTGGGAAGCCTTGTGTGAACAGGTATGACTGCAGGGAGTGCAGCTAGAATAATTTATACAGTAACAACGATATTGTAAAGACCCACCAGGATTCCAGAGGACCAGAGATGGGGCCTGCTGACCACCTCCTGATAGAGAGAAGGGCTCAGTGCAGACTGAGACAGAACTAAACTTCTCCAGCTTGGTCCTGTCCCTTCCTTCTTTCCTCCATTTTCCAGCTGAGCTCTGCTGCAGAGTGGGGGGTGGCTGGAAGTGGCTGGGCTACTGAGGGAGCATGGGAAGGCTTGGGAATGAGCCTTTTCTGCTCTTAGGGCTTCTGGTGTACTGAGCTGGGGTGACGGCTAAAATCACTCCATCTCTTCTGTGTAGTTCCTTTGTGGAGAGGTCCTGCAGGTCACTAGAATCAGGAAGAGCATCTGCCCCTCCGCCTTGCTGCTCATGTCTACTTTTCTTTTTAATTTCCCATTTTTTAAGGCAATTGAGGGTAAGTGACTTGCCCAGGGTCACACAGCTAGCAAGTGTCAAATGTTTGGTCTGAGGCTGGATTTGAACTCCGGTCCTCCTGACCTCAGGGCCAAGTGCTCTATCTACTGCACCACCCAACTGCTCCTCATGTCCACTTTTGTCTCTGCATTTCCAGCCCTGAGCCCAGTGCCTGGCACACAGATGATATTTAATAAATACTTGGTTTTGTTGAATAATAGGGACTTTTCTTTCTCAATGATCCTGGGTTTATTAAACTGAATATGATCTATGTATTTGGATTGAAGTCATGATACCTATTCTATCCCACCAATCTGTTTTCTTGTTTTCGCCCACAACTGATGGTTTTAAAAACTCTTTTATATCATTAATTCAGTACAAGTCTTGCTTCCTTCTTATTTTTCCGTTATTTCCCTCGTTGTTGTTGTTGTTTTGCCCTTTGTTTGGTGAGGCAGTTGGGGTTAAGTGACTTGCCCAGGGTCACGCAGCTAGTATGTATCATGTGTCTGAGGCCAGAGTTGAGCTCAGGTCCTCCTGACTTCAAGGCTGGAGCTCTATCCACTTGCGCCACCTAGCGGCCTCATGCTTTTTTGTTGTTGTTTTTCATTATTTCTCTTGAAATCTTGGTATTTTTCTATATCAATTTTATCTAGTTCCATTAGATGTCTCATTAGTACTTAATTTTTATAGGGTCAATTCTGTAGATTCATTTAGGTCATTATTTTCTTTACTATTTTAGCCCATCTCAACCACATAATGAAGCTCTCTCCTTAAGTTCTTCATTCATGGAAGCCCAGTTTTCCGCTTTTCTTCAAGTAGTTTGTGTAGAACACACAAAAACACAGTAGGTTAACTGCTAAGTCTGTGCACACATTGTATACAGTAACAGCCACACTGTGCCATGACTAACATTGATAGACTTGGCCCTTCCCAGCAACGCAAGGATCTAAGACATCTCCAAAGGCCTCGTGGTGGAAAATGCTGCCCACATCCAGAGAAAGAACTATGCAGTTTGAACGCAGATCGAGGCAGACTATTTGCTTTTTTTTTTCTTCTGTTGTGTTTTGTTTCCTGTTTCTGGTGGTTCCTCCTATTGGCTCTAATTCTTCCTTACAATATCACTAATGTGAAAATATGTTTAATAGGAATGTATATGTAGAGCCTATATCAGATTGTGTGCCGTCTAGGGGAGGGTGCTGGGGAGGAAGGGGGAGAAAAATTTTAAACTCAAAAGCATATGGAAGTGATTGTTGATAAATCAAAAACTTTAATTTAAAAAACCCCATCACTATACCCCTGTCCTTCTTCTTTCCCCTTCTGTAGTTTGCCAAGCTCTGAACAGCCAGAGCCAGGGTCCAACCCAAGAACTGAGAAACAGAGCAGCTGGGGCAGGTCATCAGGACAGGGCCCTGTGCACATGGGGAGCTAGGAAGAACTCCAGCGAGCCCTAGGAAAAAGCCCGGAGTCCAGTGCGGGCCAGCTCTGACCACCCCAAAATCAGCTGGAGCAGAGACTGAGGCCCAGGAAAGGCTGTATCACCTGTTTGTAGCGGTCCCTGCCGGAAGAGCTGAAGCAGGTAGAGGTTGCCCAGCCAGGCCCCTCAGCATCCACCTGGGTGCCGTGTTTCCCTTCCCCCCTCTGAAATCTTGATGAGAATGGGCTATGTGTGAATTAGTTTTGCTAAGGAAAACGGCCAGTGACCCTCTTCGTCCTGTCTCCCGTCTGGGTTTGGACTGACGGTCTTCCCAGGTTCTTTCCCTGTTTCTTTGACCCTGGCCGACCCCCGTGCTAGACTCATCACTGGCCCTTCCGTCAGCTCTCCAGGGATGATTCTTTGTTCTGCCCCGATCTCTCTCCCCAGGGATGTTCAGCATGTCTAAAGGTGCCGCTCTTCCCGACTTCCCAGTCACTAGTGAGGGTGTCATCCTTGCCCTGGGCACCATGGCTGCTGCCTCTCTCACCCGCATTCCACATTACCCAACCAGGCACGCTGCACCTTGTCATTTCTCCCTTTGTGGATATACCCCCTTCTCTCCTGAGTGATGATGGTGCAGCCCCCTCCCTCCACCTTTCAAAGACCACCACATGTGCGGGCATGGGGTCCTGCCTGCCCCGGCCAGTCTCCACTGTCCCGCCAGACTGATTTCCCTTAAGTCACCTCTCCCCCACAAACAATGGCAGCGTCTCCCTCTCGCCTCCAGGCTCAGTCATACAAATGTGCACCACCCTACCCCTCCTCCCCCGGTCACCCTTCCACCTCCCCGTGACGCCCTAGTGGTCCCCCAGAAGGCCGCTGTGCTCCTCGGCTCCACTTCTCAGCCCAGCCTTCTGCAGGCCTTTCCCTGCTCCTCTCCACTGGTGCCTCCCTCTGAGACCACTGCCTCCAATCTTCCCTGTGCCTCTTTGGAGGGGCAGAGCTGCTTGCGTGTTGTGTGTTTCCCTCATTAGATGGGGAGATCGAGGACGAGGACAGTCTTTTGCCTCCCTTTCTATCCTCAGTGCTCAGCACAGTGCCTGACACATAGGGGGCACTTTGCAAAATGTGTGTTTTCTTCCCTTCCCCTTTCACAGACTGCAGACGGTTCCATGATTAGTCTCAGAGGCATAGAAAACCCACCCAAAGCTAACATCACATGTCTCTTAGAACCAGGGACACTTGTCTGTGCTGTTGCTAAGAAACCAGTCTGCATTTAAAACCAGAAGGCCCGCATGGGGCGGAGCTCGGCCCTGCTGCTTGGGCGACTGTGGATAGATAAGCCACCAAGCAGCCTTCTCTGGAAGGGCGCTTCCAACTCTCCCTCCATCGTCTGATTTCTTCCTTTTATGGAGCATGAAGAGGATGGTTTATATGTAACCCTCCTCCTCCTGGATGCTGCCAGATTGAAACATCCCAATTCAATAATAATGTCATCTATAACCTTCTGAGTCACCTCAAAAGTGTCACTCTGGACTAAAATGACCAAGGAGGCAATGACTAAGTGGAGATGACAGCTGCACCTGCCCCTCGTCGAGGGTCTGGAGGGGCTGAGTTCAAGCTGCCTTGGACACCTGCTGGTTGTGGGGCTCAGTACCCCCCTGCCCCTGTACCAGTTCAGCATGTGGGACCTTAGGGCCATGCCGCTCAACCTCCTTTTTATGTAGCTATTTATTACCACCACAGGGCTTTACAAGCCCACCAGACAGCCCAGTCTTACAAAACCAAACCAAGGGGGAGGGATAACAGAGCAAACGGACACGAGGCATCCATGTGCTCAGCACCTGTGTGGGCCGAGGCTCACTGATCAGGGAGCCATTAACTCACATGCAGTGGGAGCCAGGCATGAGGGCAGGCAGAGAGAAGGGCCCCTTGGGCCTTCTGCTCCGGTCAAGCTACAGCTAGCGCAGAGCACAGTCAGCTCTGAGAGCCACACTGGGGGAAGGATCTGGAAGAAGGCGGGCCCCAGGGGAGAGCCGTCCTGCAGGGTGGGACTGGGAGCAGGGTGGGGCTGGGCCAGGGAAAAGCCTGGTCCTGGGGGCCCTTTCCTCAGCTACCTGGCTAAGGGCCCGCCAGACACAGGGCGGCCCAGAGCCCACATTTTCCACTTCTCTCCCCTCTTTTGTTCAGTCTGTCGGCTATCCTACACTGTCCCTCTCGGGATCCTGTGGGACCAGCACCGATGGCCCCTCCTCTGGACTGATCAAACCCCAGAGAGGAGGCAGCAGGTCGTCAGGGTTGCCATCCAGGACCTCTCCTCCCTCTTCTGGGATGGAATGGGTTGAAAACATGACAGGAGCCCAGTTGGCATCACTTGAGATTTTCCAAGTAATGTTATGTACAGGTTTATTGCCAGGGTACGCACAATGGGGAGCACAGAACCATAAATACACAATGTGATTAACAGTTAAGAGGAAAACGAGGCACCGGGGGAGGGGCCCGGGTGGGGGCGACGCGGCCGCTAGAAAAAGGACAGGATCTTTTCCCTCGTCGCAGGAGTTTCTCCATCCATTTCTACCACTGACTCGGCCACGCAGGCGTGGCTTCCACGATGGTGGCGGCATCTGGGAGGTCACGGACACGAACGCGGGAACCACCGAGGGCTCACTGCACGGGACGATGGATGGCGCGGGCGCAGGCTCTGCAGAGGTAGAGAGGGCAGTGGCCGAGAACGGGGGACCGGCTTCCTTCTCCTCAGCTCCCCAAGAGTGCACCTGCCCACAGAGGGCAGAGCTAAGGAGCTCGCTCCGGACAGACCTTTGTCCAGAAAGTCGTGCTAGGCACGCGGAGCTAAAGCTGGAGAGCCAGGCCGAGCTCCCCGACCGCCCCCCACAGGAGGCCTGGCCAGTCTCACGCCCAGTCGGTCTGGCGACCTCTCTGGCCCCGTGGGCCCCCCTGGGCCTCGGCGGTCCGAGGCGGCAGATGCCATACGCCAGCAGCGGTCAGCATCAGGCGGGATCGGCCGATTCCTTTCGCGTCCGAGGCCCCCCGGCTCTCCGGCCCCATCAGGCCCCCAGACCGAGTGCGAGGGGCGAGCTCCAGGGGAAAGTCTTGCTTTTTCTCCACAGCATTTCACGTTTCTAGCAAAGGACGTGATAGTCAGCAGAACTCAAAGTGGTGACAGAAATGTTATTCTGCAGCTGAATAAAGGCAAAAATGTTTTCAGATTTTAAACCTGTGAAGCTCCAAGCATTCCTGTTTAATCAGCAATTTAAAAAATGGGTACAATCATAACACTGGCAAAGGTTAATGGGAAGACAGGAGTGAGGACTGGTAAAACGACGAAGCAGATCTGTGTTCATTAACCGCATTAATACTGTTCTCCTTGGGTCTGGAACCACTCTATGCGACGGGTACATGCAGGCTGAGGACAGCCACCTGTTAAAGAAAACAAAAAGGGGGAAAAGCCGGAGTCCAGGCGCGGGTCTACAAGCGTCCTTTTCTGTCCCGGTCACACTCGGCTAGCTCTGCCCAGGCACATCGCTGGCTGTGCTGGGATCGCTGCCTCCAGAGCCCGTCTGCGCCCGCTTGATGTACAAATTTAACAGCTTCATCTGCAGAGGGAACAGAGAGACGGCGTGTTTCACTGGCTGGACCCAAGACACCGGACGGGGCAGACGCCTCTCCCACCCCCACTATGCGCAGCCAGGGGAGCATGCTGGCTACCAACCGCCCTTCCTGGGCTCTTGTGTCCTTCCCCGAGAACACTTTATTCAAATAAGCCCTCAAGAAGTGTTTCCTTTGCGCCAGGCCCCAGGTGAGTGCTGGGGACACAAAAGGAGGCCAGACACAGGCCCTGTCCTTGAGGAGCGCATGGCCTCATGGAGGCGACAACACGCAGACGAGCGGCTGGCGGCATAAACAGGAGATAACTGGAGGAGAGCAGGGGTGCCCAGCCTGCAACCCCAGAACAGCGAGTCTAGCGAAGGGCGGCGGGAAGTCCCACGGGGCCAGTTCTGAATAATCCCCACCGCCGTGCCCACAAGGGCCACCCATCTGCTCCTAAGCCAGGCACTGGGCCTCCCGTCCCAAGCTCCAGCGCCCACCTGCCACCATAGTGCCACCTGCCAGCGGGTGAAGGGAGCGCATCACGGCACCCATGGCACTCCTCTGCCCGCGGGTCCCAGCAACTCCCCCGTGAGCACTTTCTAGACCAGCAAATGGTGGCGCCTACTTCCTAACAGAAGTCTTCGTGTACCAAGCGGACCCTCCCCAGACCCCTGACCACCGCTCACACAAAACCCTTCATCTCTGGACTCTGGGCATTTTCTTGGGCATCCCCCGGTTCTAGAAGGCAGCCCCACCTTCCGGACCCCCCTTAATGCCGACGCCTTCCTCCAGGGATGACTGGCGATGTGTTTGTTCGCATGGGGTATGGTGTGTTGTCTTCCCAGCGCTTAGCCCAGGGCCTGGCGCACAGCAGGTGCTTAATCAATGCCTGCTGATGGACCAGCCCGCTCAGGTCATGGAGAAGGGCTGTCCAGAGGCCAGCTCTCTCTGCTGGGCCTTCTAGGACCCAGACTACTGCCCCGAAAGGTTAAACTGTGACCCTAGAAAGTGGGTTTCTTGGCCAGGTCCCCAAGCCTGACGCTCTAGAAAGGCCCACAGACTTCTCCCCTCTCCCCTTGCTGACAGGCTTCCTGCCCCCTTCTCACACTGACTGTCCCACCCTGGGGAGCGGCTGATGAGCCCCCAGGAGGCTGGGAGAGGGATTGGGTCCCTGACCTCGGAACAGTCAGCCCAGGTCTACACTTACTTTGCTCCCTGTGAGCTGGCTGAGGTGGGGCTTCAGCTCGTCGCCAATGACAGCATGGATGGCCACGAGGCAGAAGACACAAGCTTTTCGGACGCTGCTCTCCGAGTTGTCGTATCCCTAGGAAGAGAGGGAGAATGGGGCTGGGACCACGGGGAAAGCCACAATTCGCTCTGTGAACCATCTCAAAGCTCTCCATGCACCCAATACGGGGTCTGGCCGCTCAAGACAGCATCTGCACTGCCTGCAAATGCCTTCCAGCGAGCAAGCCCAAACGATCACTCAGATAGCTCCTTTCTGCCCAGGGCCGGTGGGCAGGTTGTCCACGGAGTGCCGAAGGGGGCCCTGTGGGCATCCAGGGAGGGCAGGCAGGCAGCCATGCAGCGGTCCAGGCGATGTCCTCTGCACACAGGAAGTTGTGCTAGAAATCCGGATCTCCCTCGTCGTGGGGGAACACCTCCAGCAAGCAGCCAGAGGGTCACAAAACAGGGGGAGCGCCCTCATTCCTATTTTCAGGGGACTCTGAATGTTCTTCATTTTTTTTATATGAGGCAATTGGGGTTAAGTGACTTGCCCGGGGTCACACAGCTAGTAAGCGTCAAGTGTTTGGTCTGAGGCCGGATTTGAACTCAGGTCCTCCTGACTGCAGGGCCAGTGCTCTATCCACTGCGCCACCTAGCAGTGCCCCCACCAACTGTTCTGATGGCATACTGATCTGGTGGGCTTGCGCTATGAAAGCTGTCATCCACCGAGGAAGGAGGAGGCCCCGCACGTGGACAGAACGAACAATTCCGAATAGACGGGTAAGCAGCTTCGAGACCAGTGGGCGCCCAGAGGTTTGAGAAGTGACCAGGCAGAGGAGGGCGGGGGGCTGAGCTTCTTAGGGGCAGGCCGCCCCCAGAACCAGAGGCCTGTCTTCCAGTGTTCCAGGGTCAGTGGCAGGGCACGAGGCACAGCTCGAGAAGCGAGGGCGAGCATCACCCAAAGAGGAGCCAGGAGGGTGGATGGACCGATGACGCGGGGCCCAGCCTGGGGGCTGCTGCAGAGCATCCACATCCGGGAGGGAAGAGCTCTGCTCACCCGCCAGAGCCTTCATCTGCCTACTGGTTGGTGAGATCTATAAGACTACAGGGAAATAGTCCCCAGCTGATAAATGGCCAAAGATGTCAACAGGCAGTTTTCAGATGAAGTAATCAAAGCTATCTTTAGTCGTAAGAAAAAACGCTCTACATCATTACTGACTGGAGAAACGCATTCAAAACAAGTCTGAGGTACTACCTCACACCCATCAGATCAGCTAATACGACAGACAAGGAGAATGAGAAATGTTGGAGGGGATGTGCATTGTCGATGGAGTTGTGAACTGACCCAGCCACTCTGCAGAGCAACGAGGAACCGTGCCCAAAGGGCTACCAAAGCAATTCTAGTCTGTACCCCTGAGAGAGCATGAAGAGGGGAAAAGGACCCACGTGCAAAGACGTTTAGGGCAGCTCTCTCTGTGGGGGTGACGAAGAACAGGAAACTGAGGGCGTGGCTGAGCAAGCCATGGCACATGAGTGAGACGGAATAAGAAAGGAGGAGCTGGCAGATATGGAGTGAAGGGAACAGACGCAGAACTCAGCAACCGCGGGTGACTGGGCTCCGCTCAGCACTACCACGCCAAAGGACTCAGGCTGGAAAACGCTGTCCGCCTCCAGAGAAAGAACCGATGGAGTCTAACGCAGATCAAAGCAGACTTCTTAAAAAACTTTCTTTGTTCTTCTTGTTTTATTTTTTTTTGTCCATGTTTTCCTTTGGAACATGGCTAATAGGTTAATATGTTTTGCATGACTTCACATGTATAATCAGTATCAAGTTGCTTGCCTTCTCAAAGAGAGGGAGGGGCAGGCAGGAAAGAATCTGGAACTCAAATTTTAAAACAATTTTTCTATGTAAGTGGGAAATGTTCAATGAGATAAATAAAAATATATTTATTTTTATTTTATTTTTGTTCTTTGGTGAGGCAATTGGGATTAGGTGATTGCCCAGGGTCACACGCTAGTAAGTGTCAAGTGTTTGGTCTGAGGCCAGATCTGAGCTGAGGTCCTCCTGACTCCGAGACCAGAGCTCTATCTGCTGTACCACCTAGCTGCCCTATAAAAATGTATCTAAAAACTAAAACACACAAGCCAAAGTCCATAGGCCAACCCATTCTCACAAGCACCAGGGTTAGGCTCACGCCACCTTGAGGTAGCAGGGTGTGTCCATTCTCAGACACGACTCTCTGGAAGCTAATGGTCAGACAACCAGCAACTCTGCAGTTCCTCGCATGCAGGCTAGACTCCTGTGGGAGGAGGGCCTTGAAGGTTGTACCCTGTTCACAGGTAAGGGCTTTTCTAACCGTCAATGAACTCCTGAGGTCTCGTACTCCTGACGCTTGTCAGAAGCAGGTGGCCCCCTCAAGGATGCGCTCAATGCATAGACTGACCCACATCCACAAATGAGGCATTGGCTGAGTGGCTGCGGACACTCTCCCATTCTCCTCAGTCTGGGCAGGACCTCTGGCTCCCTCCTGCCCCTTGGCTCTCTCTGGCCTGCTTTGGGACCACTTCCACCTTCTCATGCGGCCGCTTGAGGACTGAGGGCTCAGAGCCCAAGCCGGGCTGATGCTTTCTCCCACAATGAACACGAGATGGCAGCAGGGATAGTGCCACAGTCCTCCCATTTCTGCCTACCCACGTGTCCTCCTGCCAATGAAATCTGTGGGAGCTCCTGAAAAGACTTCTGCTGTTGGATGGGGGGACAGGACTGGGGAGTGTGCTCTGGATAGGTAGGGCTACTCTCTCTCCCCTGGGCAAGGAGACCGTGTCTTTGCTGGGGAAACTGCTTATAGAAGATGGTAGCGAGGAGCACAGACACCCCTGTGATGCCGCTAAAACTAGTCCCGGAACCTTCTCTCACCAGGATCCTTCCACCATGTCTGCAGAGTGCAGGAAGACCAGGGGTGTTGCTGGGATTCCTCTATCAGTCACCAGCCAATTTCATGGGGTGGGGATGCCTTCTGGCACTCACCAAGCCCAGTACCTTCTGACTCTGCCTCCCTGACGGCAACACAAGGTCACCGGAGCATCGACCACATGGCCAGCACCCCATGGGAATCACCACACGCCAAAGCCCCACCGCGTGGCTTTTGGGCACCGGTCAACTTCTGTGCGGCACGATGGCCGAGCAGCCGTGGGGATTGCCGCCAGAGGCGCTGGCCAGGAGGCTCACAAAAGGACTTCTGGCTTCTATCTGCCCACCCGTCCATGTGGCTACACCCCAGTGGTCTGAGGCCACGCTCACACGGAGAGTCCCTCGCTGACTGAGGGAATGCCATCAGCCCAGAGCCCTTCTGGCACCGGGGAAGGGAATGGGACCGTTTCACATTCTCTGCTTTTTGATGAACAAGGACAGCAATCCTACCAGCTCCCCTGTTGGGCCGGGTCACGAGGAGGCCACGTCGGGCTGCTCACTGGTGAAGGAGGGGCGCTGGCCCTGACACAGCCCGTGTCTCCCTCGGGCTCTCCCTACCTGGATGAGGCCCGGCACGATCTCCGGCAGCAGCTGGGCCAGGGTGTCCTGGGACACCCTCTCGATCACCTTGGTCTGCATCTTGATGGCGGCCAGATTGATGGGGTAATCTGCCGTCTGGATAATGGGACAGAGCACTTTGATGCACTGCTCTGGGCTGATGGAGGTGGCCAGCATGGATGCGGCTTCTTCGGCGGACCTCACCACCTAAACCACAAGGGAGAACCAAAGCGCAGCTTGCTAACCTGCTTCTGCGTGGAGAAGGCAGCTCTTCCCCACCTGGCCCGCTAGAGTGCAGCGGGATGGCGGTGGGGAGCATATGTGATGACTTCCTGGGGGGAGGCCTGGCTCCGGTACAGGGGAGGGGCCTGCCCTGGGCTGAGAGGAGGTCTGGCTCTCCCTGCTCATGCAGGGAAGTCCAGGTCCTGCCCGTGGAGCCAGGACCCACCAGGCTGTGGTCTTTGAGGAGCCGTCGGGAGCTAAGGGCCAGTCGGTCCCACCTGGGATCTCCTCCCGCCCCACCTATCCTCCAGCCTTTGTGTCCTGGGCACTAAGGATGCAGAACCTGGGAAGACGTGGCCCCGCCTCTCCGGGGAAGGCCAAGGAGCCCCAAGGAGCAGAGGATGATGCTGTGTTGCTGACCCTGGGAAGGCCCTCCCCACAAAGAGCCTCTGCTTTCTCCAAGCTGCACACCCTACATGTACCCCAGCCATGGCCACCGAGTCCCGGCCATCCCCCCACCACCCTCGGGGCCAAGGCCACAGCCTCTGCTCATTCTCTGACTCGCTGCTTGTCTCCATCTTTCCCGACCCCCAAGTTTCTGTCCTGGGGCTCACTTCCCTTTCCCATCCAAATTTCTAGAGGGGTCAGCTCTTGATGACCTCTGTGGCCTGCCAACGATGGAGGCGGCACACGCTTTCCTGCAGGCTCTCCTGGGCCAGCTTCCCCCTGTCCGCTGTCACCAGGGGACAACAGAACAGCCCTCGTGGCCACGGCTGACTTGGCCACCACCATGGGAAGGCAGGGGTGAGGGGTCACACAGAGGGCTAGCGAGAAGGGATTGTCAAATCCAGCCCCCATCTGACAGATGAGGAAACTGCGGCTCAGAGAGGCCCCCTGCCTGCCTCGCTTACTGGTCAGCCTCTGGTGCAGGATCTGCTTCCAAGCCTGGGGCTCTATCCGACTACACGGCAACGCCTCAATGATACAGACAGGGAAAGATCAGGCACAGAAAGGCTCAGCGTCGAGGTGCAAAGCGGAGCCAGCAGTCGGGCTGCTGTCGGCCCAGAGCAGAGCGTCCAGACAGACGCGGCCCCGCCTCCTCACTCTCGCGGGAGGTCGTCTCTTGGCTGGCGGCAAGCGGGGCTCAGTGTCAAGATCCCCATTTTACAGATGTGTGCTTCCAACTGTCCGCTGGTGGCCAGAGGGGAGCAGGCTGCCAGGCACTCACCTCTTTATGTGGGTCCTTGTGGGCCTCGAGGGTCTTCATGATGGTCAGCTCGGCATAGTTTTTAAATCTGGCTGGTTGGTTCCTTAGGATTTCTCTTAGAACTCTTAGGGCCAAAGCCCTGACTGAGTGCTGGGAAGAGAGGTTGGCTAGGGTTATTTGTGTGAAACTTTGAGCACCATGTATGAATGCAGATGGAGCCCCCCGGGAGGACAGAGAGGGCAGCCTCCGTCCCTGCCCCCCCGGAGGCCAGGATCTCCTCTCAATGGAGAGGGGGAGGGGACCCGGGCACAGCTCTGTCTGTGCAGAGGTGCCAGGCTCACCCACTGCCGCACCGGACGGAGGTGAGGGAAAACAGTCTGCCGTGAACCCAGGGCAAATGACATGGCCAAGTGAGGGCTGTGCTCTACAGAGTCGAGTGTGGAGGCCGGTCAGCTGAAAGGCACCACACCTGGACTCAGGTGAGGGGGCCCTTCCTTGCTTCCCAAGACTCTGGACTGCGCACAGTGGGCATCCTGACTCACACAGCCGAAAGACCACTCATCCCGGGTCTGCTTTGTCGCCAGGCACGGTGACAGACGGGAGGCTTAAAGGGGCTGGGGTTTGCCCGCCCCCTGGGGCTCCCGGGGAGGGAGGTGCTGCCGATCACCTCTCTGTCCCCGAGCGTCTCGAGCAGTAAGAGCAGGATGGTTTTGAAGTGCTCGTCCCAGACCCCGAAGGCATCTTCTTGAGTTAGCTTCAGGAGCTCGCAGAGGGCGCTTTTTCTCTCCTCCACACGCTCATTGTGATTGGACAGCTCCTTCAGCAGCTCGGCCACAAGGTCCGAGTGGTCCAGAGACAGGTCTGCGGAGGGAGAGGGAGAGGGCCTGGTGAGGAATCCTGGCACTTGGCCCCAAAACTGCCCACAGTCCTGGCTAGCCCTTGTCACACAAGACCCCACTGGACCCCTTCAACCCAGCCTGCATCCATCTCAGCTGACCCCGCTGGCACTGCCCGGTCCTACCCAGGACTCACCATCAGGAAACTGATCTGCATCGTCATCAAACATTGCTTCCTTCAAGGCTGACTTGTTGAAGGAGCCGACGCCATCCGAGTAATTGTAGGGGTTGTAGTCCCGAGAGCGCGGTGAGGAGTGTGGGGGCATCGTGTTGAGCACTGAGGTTTTGTTGTCGAGAACCGCTCGGCCCGAGTCGGGGGCATCCCCACCAGCGCGAGGGTCGCTGCCCATCTGAACGGGCGGAATAGAGACGACGGTTCACAGACCGTGGCGGCCCCGAGGGTCCTGCCCCTGGACTCCTCACACCAGGCCGCCATCACGGCAGGAAGGATGCTCGGGGCTCTGTCCAAAGAGGCCTTGAATGACAGGACCAAACAAAAGCCAGGCCTGGGAGCAGGTGTCAGGACCCGAGTGCCAAGGCTGACCCTGCCTGTCGGGGCAATGCTGGGTGAGTTCCGGTACCTCCATCTCGCCATTTGGGTGGACGACAGGGCTGGGCGAGATGACTGCCAAGCTCCCTGCCGACCCTAACTACCTGCAACCTTAGGCAAGGACGTGGGCCTCGGCATCTTCAGCTCCCAAACCACAAAGGATGACGGAGTCTGGGACCTGATCCCGGGGCCAAGGGATGCTGGCAGCGGCCCACACGAAGGACCCCTCCCCCCCGGGGCAGCCATCTGCCACTACTCACCAGCTCGCTGTCGCTTTCCCTCTTGGGCTCCCTCTTGACCGGCTCATGCATGTCCTCCTGGCTGCGGAAGCTAAAATTCTGGATGGCTTCGGTGACGCCTCGAAGAGAGCTGTAGATGTCCTCAGAGTTCATGTTCTCTGTGTCGTAGTCAAATGCGCTGCCAAAGACAAGTTCGGTCAGGCCCTGCCATTTCCGCGAGAGGACAGCCTGGAAAACGGCAGTCTTTCAGGGACGTCCCATGTCCAGGAAAGCAGCCGTGGGGCTAAACTCCATTTAGACACAAAGGGGGCAAGAGGCATCTAGCATGTGGCTGCCAAATTTAGATAATCCGGGGAAATGGGTGGGAAAACACCAGAACATCAGTGTTTTGCCTCCGTCCAGAATGACTGGGACAACCTTCTAAAAACCTAGTCAGAAGGGGCCTCAGTTGGGAGGGATGACGTGGGCCCCAGTGAATAGGCACCAAGCACAAAGGTGCCCCCTCCCCGCTCAGGGGTGGAGACGCCTCCCAGCCTGAAGCTGCCTCCTCCTCTTCCCTCCTTCAGGATGTTCTTGGAGGTAAAGGACAAGGATCGTTTCCACTGTGAAACAGATGAGGAGTGGTTGCCACAAGCTGGGTTACCAGGCCTGGCTAACAGTCAGAGACTCTGGACCAGCCCCCTCCCCCAGCCTGGAACACATGCCCTCCTCTCCCTGTCTTGACTCGGGGGACCTCTCACGAGCCATCAAGACTCAATCAAGTGCCACCACCTCCGGAATGGCCCAGCGGCCAGGGTCCGCTCTCCCCACCTCCAATCACTGCAAGTTTATTGGCAGGTCTCTGTGATTCACCAGAGCCCAGCAGAGTGAGGCCTGGCCCGCAGAAGGCACCCGACAGATGCCTGGCGCGTGACCAATGAATTCCACTTTCTCTCCACAATGAGGTACCCCTGTGGGGTCAGGCACCCCCGGATCGGGATCCTTCCGCTCTGTGTGACTCTCCCAGGGATCAGCCCTAGCTCTGGCTATGTTTCCACAATGCCTGGGGCTTCCTGAGGCGCCAGGTGAGGGGAGTGATGTGCTATCCTTCCCAAGGAGCAGAGACGTCTCCTTACCTTGGTAACAGAGTGTTCTGAGCGGTGTTTGTGGGGGACGTAAGAGGACTAGGCCAATTAGCCGGTGAGCGTGGAGTGGGCCTCGTCAAGGGACTCCCCATTGAACCCTAAAGGGGAAGAAGACCATGCTGGCCATACCGACACAGGCCCTTCTGGCTTTCTCTGCCAACATCTGAGCCCTTGACATGATCCTTACGCTTCTCTCTACCCTAGGGCCCAACACGCCCACTGCTACCATCTTGGTCCATGTAGGTTACTCCCTCTCCCACCTCCCCTCCAAAGGGTGGGTGCCTCCTAGACCCCTCCCCCAGGCCCCCCAGCTAACCCAAAGCATTCATAAATGCCACTCCCCCCGGGGAGGTCACAGGGCTCCCATCTTGGGACATGAGACCAGCACTAGGGCAGCCACTGTGTTCCCAAGCCTCCCCAGCCTCCGGCAGCTCCGGCTCCCACCTGGCATTACCTGGCTGCCAGTGCCGGTGTTCCGAAGGTGATTGTGAAGTAGTTTGGTAGCACCATCCTGAAAGGTTTTTGGTAAAGCTCCCAGCAGCATTGTAAACTCGGGAGTATTGAGCTCAAATAAGGAGATGAGCACCGCCTGAGCTGCCTGTAAAGAGGAAGGGCCCAAGGCTGGGTCAGGGGAGAAGACTGCCTATGCAAATACCCCTCCTGGGACCAGAGACAGGTGTGGTGGGCTAGCCCAGGACCAGTGACCAGTGGAGTGAGTTAGCCCATGGCCAGAGATCAACATGGTGGGCTATCCCAATCCTGGAGACCTGCAGGGTGGCCTATCCCAGGACCAGCGACCAGCACAGTGAGCTAGCCCATGCCCAGAGATCAACATGATGGGCTATCACAATACTGGAGACCTGCAGGGTGGGCTATCCCAGGACCACCGAACGGCACAGTGAGCTAGCCCATGCCCAGAGACCAACATGGTGGGCTATCCCAATCCTAGAGACCTGCAGGGTGGGCTAGTCTAGGCCCAGAGACCGGCAGAGTGAGCTAGCCCACACCCATAAAATGGCTTGGTCAGTCTACCCCAACACCTTACAAGGTATGTTGGGCTGTCCAGCTAGGCGCCAGGCAGAACACAGTTCTCTGTCAGCCCAACAACCAGCTAATAGGGTTGGGGAATACAGATCACCTTTCCCACCCATGGTCAATGTATAAGACTCTATTTCTCAGCAACTTTCCACCATCACCACGGGCACTTGCAGCCCTAAGGGCTGGTCCTACATCCCTCCCCACCCGGGACAGGACAAGATCTTGCAGCCATCACCCTAAAGAATGGTACAAGGGAGGAAAGTGGGCAGGGCCTGGCTAATGCTGAGCCATGTCCAGAGATTCTTTCCAAAGGACGTTCTGACTATATTCAAGTGCGAGGCTGTTGTGGGGAAAAGCCCCAAAGAGCCACGGAAATGGGCCATGCAACATTCCAGATGCGACTCCAGAAGAAGAAGGCACCCGATGGCCTGTGGCAGGGTCAGTGTGGCAGCTCCAGAGGTCACAGGAAGGGAGGTGCTGCTGTGTCCCTGGGCCACGTTCAGAAGAGGAAGGCGCCCGATGGCCCATGGCAGGGTCAGTGCCTCCTCCTTATGCCTGAGCCCTTTCCTTAGCCAGCCATACCTGGCCTTCTCCAAAGACCTTCTGCAGCAGGAAGCATCAATCCACTTGGTTCACTAAGTGTGTGTGGTTTGCTCACGCCCACACACCTACATCTACCATTTAAACTTCTTTTTCGGGGCAGCTAGGTGGTGCAGTAGATAGAGCACCAGCCCTGGAGTCAGGAGGACCTGAGTTCAAAACTGGCCTCAGGCACATAACATTTACTAGCTGTGTGACCCTGGGCAAGTCACTTAACCCCACTGCCTAGCCAAAATAACAAACAAACAAAAAAAACCCCACTTCTTTTTCTATCAGCTAGCAGTAAACTGACAACTGGTTTCTACTCAGTCTTCAGGATGGCTGGGGACTGTCCCCAAAGGGATGGAGGTCACGTGGCCACCAGGCAGGCGGCTTCCTGCTTCAGACAAGGACCAGACTCTGGCAAAGATCTCAGGAGGTCCCGGGGTGAGGATTCAATGCACAACTATCTTCAGGAGGGACAAATGTCGCCTCTCATCCAGCCTGCCCACGTCGGGAGGGGACATGTAGGAGGTCCAGCCTCACCCCTCCTTCCTAGCACAGCTCTTATAGGGCATCTCCACTAAGGTGAGGGAGGACTCAGCTGCCCTCCCCAAGGTGCCTGTCTTCCCCGAGCTGGGCCGAGCAAAAGGGACCCAGGATCAGACGATGCATCTGCCACACAAGGCATGTATTTCCTGAACGAAATCTTTTGGGCCCCAGACCACATGCCAATGAGCTGTGATGGAGGGGGCAGCCCGGGGAGCTCCTCCCAAGGAGAGATGCGCGAGGTGAAGCTGACGGATGACGGGGCCCAGGACCACCAGTCAGTACCACGCCCTCTCGCTTGGCCCCACTGGCGAGCCCTTCACCTGGTGGGCGTTCCAAACCTGCCCCGCCCGGTGTCAGCTCTCTCCCTTCCCCAAGAGGCCTTGGGTGTCCGGGTGGCAGCGGGGATGTGTGTCTCTCTGCTTGGCCCAGGCCTGGGTCACAGCGGGGGCTTCAGCAATGCCGCCTTCCTTCCATCCTCCTTTCCCAAACGTTTCTTTATAATGAAAAGTGAACCATAAAGCAGACCCCACTTCCCTGTGGGCTGGGCCGGGACTCTGCAGCAGCCAGGACAGGTCAGGGGCGCCCAAGCTCCACCCTGCTCCCGACCAAGCCTTCCTTGGGAGGTCCTGCCCTCTCATTACAGACCACGCAGACATGCTACCGGGATGGGAAGAAGAAGTCAGCCTAGGAGACGCAGGCCCCTTCCCCTGGCACCAGAGGGCAGCTGCCCACACGGAAAGGCTCAGGACCAGAGCAGATGTGGGACGGCTCCCGCCAACTACTCGTGAGACGTAGACGTGGGAGGAGGAGAGAACACGGTGAGGCCAAGAGAAGGCCAAAGCAGGAGCGTCCAGTGGCAGCAGAGAGAGTAGAAGAGAGGAGCCCAGAAGACGGCGAGGGGGTCAGCTCTACCCGTTCCCCTCACCAACCAACCAGCGGCCAAAATGAGCCTGTGAGACATCAGACGAAGCCCGGCACCTGGAGACCCCAAGGGTTGCAGAACGCCAGTGGCAGCACCGGGGCCCACGTTCCCTCAGATGGCACATTTTCTACCAACGCGGGTTGACACCTCCTCTCCCTCACTGCCCCCAAAATTCCTAGGGAGCCGCCCAAGTGACCAAGAGGTCAAGTTCAGTGGTTGTCCAAGGGGAAAGAGCTTTCAGGTGTCTGAGAAATGGTTCAGCCCGGGTCCAGCACTCACTGCCCCATTCAGAGGGGTGGGTCAAGCATGGCAGGGACTGACCCCACAGTCGGTGCAGGGCTCAAGCAGACCGTGGGCCAAACTGGCATCTAAGGTTCGTTCTTGGGGAAGATATCTTGTGCCCAGAGCTCTGCCGGAATGTGCCAGGGCCAGCTCAGACTGAGCTCTTGTATCAAGGCCTCTCTTTGTACTCTGGGTTTGTCCCCAGCTGGACTCCTGTGCTGCCGGCAGCACACCAAATAAACCAGAGATGACCCACCTCTCAGGACATTGCAAAGGGAGCGCCAGAAAGAGCCACACTATGCCAAAAGACAGAAGGATGCTGACCCACCGAGGGGACGTGGAGAGAAAAAAGAAAGGCCTCCTCCTACCTTAGGACTGCCTGAGCGAAACAAACACACAAATTTGTGCTATTCTAATCCAACTGCCAGAAGGCCCTTTGGAGAAAGAAAGAGCCACAGAAGAGTGTGGCCAGGCAGAAGGGCAGCTTTGGAGGGCCAGATACCTGGCCTGTTTCCCTGACTGTGGGCACCACGATAGAGAGAAAAGTCAATGAGCCAGCCCAGAAACTCCTCACTCCTACCGCGACCTTGCCGAGACCAAGGGTGGACTACGGTGTCAGAGCACTGCTGTCCTGAGGACAGACATCTACCCTCTGGGAAAAACAGAGGGAGAGATGCATCATCGCAGACTCCCCGCACTCACCTCTGAGGCTATCTTCCCTCCATCCTCTCTCTCCTCACAGGACGCAAGAAGCACTCCCGCCCACCGAAGCTTGCTGTAATAGGTGATTCAGCACACTGCCACCCACAGCAAGATGGTCCTGGGCCCCATGGTGGCTAATGTGCCCCCTCCCCAAGCTACTCTGCAGTCACTGCGCACAGAGCTGATATCTCCCCCAAAAGAAGAGGAGCCCCGCTGGGCCGTCACTGAAAGCCCCTGCCTCCTTCTCCAGCTTTGAACACACTAACACATCCTTCCATGCCCTCTCCGGTGGCCCTCAACTGGCCGTGTGGATGGTCGAAGCCCCTTCAAGCCTGGCCAAGGCCCCGATTCTCCACGGGTCCTGAGGCTCTGCCATTCTGGCTTCTCAGGCATCTTCCCAGTGGGAGGTGCTGAGACAGAAGGTGGCAGCCAGCCATGGAGCAGGCAGGGACGACCACTCCCTAGGGAGCACCAAAGAAGGGAGTGTGCCTTTAACATCTGACCAGCGCACCCACCCAGGCTGCTGGTGAGACTCCTGGGAAGGGTCACAGGCCCGCACCGGACTGGCCGCACAGCAGTCATGCCCTCCCACACTCCCCGGGGATGCTTCTCCCAGGGCACTGGTCACAGTGGGCGCCCCCCGACAACCGCCGCACGTGGATCTGTACAGTCCATTTCTAAAATAGAAGCATGCCACCCTTTGGGATACCTGTGTTTACACAGCCCACACTCTACCAACGTGATCTCGCTGGATGCTCAGTCCCCCTGGGAGGGAGGTGACATTAGGAGCCCCGCATCTTGGCCAGGTGTGCCACAAAGCCAAGGCTGAGAGACGGCTCAGGTCTTCCTGAGTCCAGGCCTGGGGCGTGGAGGACAGGGGCGCCTCTAGCGGCCGGATGTGTCTCCGCCCCACCCCCTGCCCCCGATCCACATACCTTCCTCACGTCAGAACTCTTGGGTTCCGTGGTCCACGTGATGATCCGAGACACGGCCAGGCGCGTTTCACTGGAGTTGACAAAATCCCCCGGGTCCATCTGCTGGGCTAGTGTCTCGATGTACTTGAGGATGGCGACTTTTACCTGCAAAGTCAGGGAGGGAGAGAAGAACATCAGTCAGTGTGGGGGGGTGGCTGAGGGCATATTTACCCCTTTTAAAGAATCCACATGCTGGCCCCCCAAACCAGTGCGGGGGCTAAGTCAGTCATCCCTGACCAGCCTCAGAGCAACAAAAGGAAGTGAGACGAGTGACCCCACGCAGCCCAACTCATCTTCGGAGGATGAGCGGCCAAGGCGACAGACCCCGAGCATCACACCTTCCCTCGGTGGGCACAGCCCCTGCGTGGATCACACCCACCCTCACCCCCACATGCGTCACGCCTTCCCTCGGCTGCGTCCCCCAGGACTCCTCCAAGCCTTACGGGGGGGTCTCTAGGTACCTCCCAGGCAGGCTTTATTAGAAGGGCCGTCTGGGGGAGCTGGGCACACACTCAGGGGTCTAGTGTCACAGACGCAACTCAATTCCACAAACAGTTACTATGAGCAAGGGGTAAATAAGAGAAAGTTTTCGGGGGGGCACTTTACTACTTGGCAAATGCTAGGGATGAGGTTGATTTTCCCCCAGGCTTCTTGAAAGGCGAGGCTAAAAGATGTACAAAAATTTTTCCAACACTGGGAGAATCACTGATGTGAATACAAACTTTCCAGGTGGGCTGCTGGGAAAGACCCGACTCAACGCACATCACTGCTCCGTGGATTCTACACTCAGGATTTCCAAATGTTTAAAGATGTGACACTGATATGCCGCAGCCAAGGAAGACCAAGCTACGACGTACTGACATGGGGGGAGGGGGGGAGCATTTATGCGGCGCCTACTGTGTGCGCTGTGCTGGCGCTTCGCCGACAGCATCACTGGACCCACACGAGAACCCTGGGATGTGGGCACTGCCGTCACCCCCGTCTTCTCTTTTTAAATGAAAGAATTTATTGTAAGAGTCCCTTTATGCTCTCGGTCTCTCCTTGCCTTTGTACAAAGCAGAAGAGAAACACTGGCTACTTTTACAACTCTGACGCGCCCTGGGAACAGTGCCCACAGCCCGGCCTTTCGACACGTCAGGCCGCTATCCCTTGGAACAAAGGCTGTGATTCTCTGGCCTGTCCTGATTGGCTGGACTCTCACGTTCCTGACGGCAGAACTGGGCTGCTCAGCCTGCACACCCACTTTCTCCAGGACGATGCGCTTGGCGTGCGGGGTGCCCCTGAAGGGGCCGGCCTTGAGCACCGTGCCCAGGTGGGCCTCCCTGCGCGGCTTGTTGGGCCACTTCTGGTCCCCCTGGTGGCCGTGCAGCTTCTGGGCCATGCGGGGTCCGTGGCACCTGCCCATCTTGCTGCTGCCCCTCCGCTCCTGGAGCCCATATCATCCCTATTTTCAAGTTGAGGAAACTGAAGCAGACAGACGTGAAATGACTTGGCCAGGGTCACACAGCTAGTAAGTGTCTAAGGCTCCAGGCCTGGCCGCCTCGTGGCTTTGTCCAACAACCTCACAAAAACAGAATACAAAATCACCTCCTGAAAGAAACCCCCCTAGGATGAAAACTCCTAGGAACATCACAGCCAAAATCCAGAACGTCTGAGTCAAAGAAAAACTACCACCTGTAGCCAGAAAGAAAGAATTCACGTCTTGAGGAACCAGTCAGGATCACACAAGATTTAGCAGTCACCACTTCAAAGTAGTGGAGAGCTTGGAATATGTTATTACAGAAGACTAAGAATGGAGGCTTACAACCAAGAATAACTTACCTAACAAAACTAAACATAACTCTATGGGGAAAAAATGGACCTTTATGGAAATAAAGGGGCAGCTAAGTGACACATTGGAAAGAGCTCCAGGCCTGTAGTCAGGAAGACTTGAGTTCAGATCTGAACCCAGATACTTACTAGCTGTGTGCCCCTGGACAAATCACTTCACCTTGTTTGCTTCAGTTTCCTCATCTGTAAAATGAGCTGGAGAAAGAAACAGCAAACCACTCCAATATCTCTGCCAAGAAAACCCCAAATGAGATCAAGAAGAGTCAGACATGCCTGAAATGCTGAACAACAACAATGAAATAAAGGACTTCTAAACATTACTGATAAAAGATTAAAACCAAGTGGAAACTTTGAAGAGTCAAGAGAAGCATAAAAAGATAACCACGGGAAATCATAAGGGAATAACAAGGCTAACTTGTCCCTTCACAATCCTATCATCATCAGGGGTCATGGAAAGTACCTGATTAGACAGAAAGGCAAGGAGTGGTTCTGTTATGTTTCGACATCTTACAAAAAGAATGGAAAGGCAGTGGGAAAAGAATACACTTGGGTGGGGGGAAACAAAGAAGAGGAAGCATGGGAAAATTATCTCCCATAACTGTGGTGCCCAAGTTATGCATAGTCTATGCAAATAAGAAGGAAGACCCATGTGGAGGAAGGAAGTGACCCTTAAAACTTACTCTCATCTGGACTCACCAAGGGAGGGAAGAACACAGGCACAAACACAGTGGGTCCTGAAGTGTGCTTTACTCAACAGAGAAAGAGGAGAGAATGTGGCAAGGGGAGAGGGAGAAATGAAAGAAGGAGGTTAGATTAAGGGAAAGAAGAGTCCTAACCAAAACAAATTCTAACTAAGGAGGGTGGACTTCAAAGAGGGGTTAAGAAACCAAAAAACGGAGAATGTATTATGGTCTCTGGTTGAGGGATTAGAAAGTAAAACCTAACAATATGTTGTTTACAGGAAACATACTTGAAATAAAAAGATGCATACAGAGTTAAAAGGGGCTGGAGCAAAATCAATTATGCTTCAGTTGAAGTTAAAAAAAAAAAGGCAGGAGGTAGCAATCATGGTTACAGACAAAATGACGGCAAAAATAATGAAAAGAAGTAAGCAGAGAAAACCCATTTTGATGAAAGAGGTATCCATGACAGTGAGTTAATATCAATACCACACATCTATGTAACAAATGATCTAACACCTAAAAATTTTTTTTAAAAAAGTTAAATGAATTACAAGAAGGAAGAGATGGTAAAACTATAACAGTGTGATGGGGGGTGGTGACCTCAATAGTCCCTCTCAGATCCAGATAAATACGAACAAAAAATAAACCAGAGAGAAGCAAAGGGCTCGAACTGAATTTTAGAAAAGTTAGACCTGAGAGAGCTTGGGAGATGACAAAATGGGATACCTAAGTGCGGTATCTCTACAAAACTGACCGTGTGCAAGTACATAAAAATCTCATAAACAAATCTAGCAAAGAAAAAGTATTAATGCATCTCCTGTGGAACCTAGTGCAATAAAAGGCCGCTAAAGAAACAATCACAAATTAATTGGAAACTGAACAACTTAACCCTAAAGAACAGGGAGATCAAGAGTCAATCCTAGAAACTTTAATTAATGCCACTAAAGACAATGGCAAAATTGAGATGACACGCTGATGTTTCTGGCATGTGGCCCATGGGGAGGGAGGGGAGGCGGTTTCAGGGTTCTGAAGGAGCAGGCCCCAGAGGCAGTTCTGCCTAGAGATGAACAAGAATGCTCTCTCCAGCATCTCCCACAGGTGGACGCCTCAGACTCAACTTATCTAAGACCTAAAGCCATGCTCTTCCCCCCTACAGCCCACAGCACTGCCATCTTCTGTCACCCAGGCTCCTAACCATGGCATCATCTTCAACTCCTCCCTCCCTCCCCTTCACTGGACATAACCAATCTACTTGCCAGGTTTTCTCCTTCTCTACACTCACACAACCAACCTTATCAACTCTTCCCTTAAAAATAATTCAGGTGAAAGAGACAAAAAAATTTTTTTTTCCATTACCTAATTTACATGTAAGACCTCCTCTCTTCTCCTCCTTTATCAGGATTTACATAATCGGCTCCTTCCACACAGCAGGGCAGCATTTATGGATTCAAGCTGGGCTTTGCAACCATGCATGATATGTTATCTAGATGGCTATGAAAAAAACAACTGCACAATGCAAGTCTTGAGGATGCCAGGAGAGCTTTAGGGACATTTCTCTCCAAAGTACTTTGACTGTTCACCACCTTCAGGTGAATATCCTGAGTTAAGTGTCCAGAGCAAAACAAATGGAGCCCAGCTGACCTCACCTCTTCAAAGGTCATGATCCGTCCTTTGACTACCACCACAAAACATCATCTCTATGAAGCACCTGCAGCAGACAAGGGAGAAGCCAGCCATCATCAGGCTCTCCAAAAGCTGACCATGTGGACAGGGAGGCCAAGATGAAGCCTCCAACAGAGACTGAAACTTTGCATCCAAATGGGTTAACGGCGCTGACTTCCATTGTCTTAGGAGCCAGGGAGGGTGGTATTCTCCTGCCGCATCCTGTTAGCATCAGCCCGAGTACAGGATGGTCGCACGGGCCAATACAGTGTTGGTGATGTCAACGACATCCTCTGATGAAGTGGAAGGCAGTTTCATGGAGACTATAGGATTCCATACCTAAGAAAGATGGTTGGAAGAGAGCTTCCAGGCACTGATCCCTTTCTGCCAACAGGGAGAGCAAGCTGTCTAAGTTAGCACTAACAACTTTTCTCAGCGTCACACATGATCTCCCTCTTGGCCGTGATCATGAAGCTGCAACTCTTCCAGCTGGGAATTTAATAGGAAGTTCATCAACAAATGAATGACAAAGCGTTTATTACAAGCATGTGAGCTGGGCACTGTGTGAAGTGCTGGAGAAAGAGCCCTTGCCTTCAAGAAGCTAATATGCTAATGGGGGAAAACCATACACAGCCTCAAGACGGAAGAGGAATGTCAGGGGTCCGTAAGGATGGAGAGGGCCACAGGCAGCTCACTACGCCTCACCGATGAGCTGCGAGCTCCTCTCGGGGGTTGGCTTGTGGGCGCCATTGCCTGGTTCGGCTCTCCAACCTGAAAGTCCCTAACGTCCTTAGCAACAGTGCACTCACACACTCGCGCTCTGTTGATTCATCCTCGGCTAAACAGCGTTGTTAGCTCAAGCTCAGCTAGCTCTAGCACAGACATGTGTCAAGTATTGGGACATTCCGGGAACAAGAAGTCCAGCCCGGGGGAAGGGCACAGCCAGGATGAGGCTGCAAAGAGACGCGCCTGTTGATACTTTGATTGGAATTCGCATGAGAAAACTTCTCGGTGTCGCCTGTTGGTAAAGAGATGTAAACCCTGTTGCTTTGGCCGCTGTTGCACTGGGGTACGCTCCCGTGAGTCAAAGACATAAAACGCTGCGCTGCACCAGAATAAACGGAGCTGCTGCCATCTTGCCTCCCGCCTCATCACTTTGTGCTCGAGACAGAAGCTGGACTTGAGTCTTTGGGGAGACAGCGGAGAGAGCCAGTCGCGTGACAGAGGAAGAAAGTAGCACCTTTGTGGACGATGGCAGGATGTGACATGGGGGCTGACCAAAGCTATACAGGGCAGAGTACTGGGTTGTGTCAGGAGTGGGGAGGAAGAGCACCGTTGGAGTACTGGCTGCATGATTTGGGGGTAAGGGCTGGGCAAAGACCCAGACAGAGGACGGAGGGCCTTCCCAGATGGCCACAGCGTGGATCACAGCAACCCTGGAGTCCATCCTAAGACCAGTGATACAACCAAGGGCATATGTGGACAACGTGGCCTGGAGGGCACTTTAGGGTCAAGGTACCTCCCGCGCACAGGGTCCATACCAACCATCAGACCCACATGTCTGTCTGGGGTACCCCAACATGGATGGGAAGACAGACTGAGGGGCACTGTCTTTTGCATAGCCAACTGTGCCCGTCAGGAGACACTGTCAGTAACAACGAGGCAGGCCTGCTGCACCAAGGGACTCAGGAGTCTTTCCCAAGACTCTCTGGATTCCTCTCGGCAGCTCCACTGGCCCAGAAGGGGCTGGTGCTGTCTGCTGAGACCCGTCTGGGGAAGATCCTCAGGCTGGCTCAGAACACATGTCCGGGACAGCCAACAGACCGGGGCCCTCAGCAGGAAGCCCCCAGCATGCCCCTTCTCTCCTACATCGCTCTAAGCATGCAAGGCCTGTCCTCCTTCAGGCCCCTTCCTGGAGCACATCTTAATCCCCCTCCCCTTTCAATCCTTCTTCTGATTTATTTTCAAAGAAATGCTTCATGCTCCACCCAACCTGGAGATGGGAGAGGTGTCCTCAGAGTCTCTGGGGGGGGGGGGGGGGGGGAGCACCTTCAGGGAGCACGCCTCCCTAAGAATCCGGAGTTCTGGATGGCGGTCTCAGGCTTTTCCAACTTCTAGAACCCTGTCAAGGGCTCCAACCCTACCGGATCTCTGATGCTCTTCCAATGCGCTGCCATCTTTCCAAATGAGCTGTGAAGCACGGCTCTCTACCCCCAGTCCCCTCTATCACTGGAGGAAATTTCTAAAACCCATTAGTCAAACGTGAGAAAATGGGCAAAGGGTAATCAAGAAAACAGGCTGGAAGCATGTCGTGAGGAAACAGGTCTGGCTACGCTAAGGTTTATGGAGAAAGCCAAATGGGAAGAGGGAGTGGGGTTTTTTCCCAATACACACAGAAGATTTTTTAAAACCAAGATTACACAGATAAACCACACTGAGGAATTAGGATGGGAAATACAGTCCAAAGGTACAGGCCTGGAAGGAGACCCTTCCGTGCCCCCCCCCCCCAACTGGTTGGGTAGTACCCAGGCTCAAGAACAAACGATACAAACAGCATATTCTATTAAAGGTCACGACAATTTAAATGCAGCACACACAAGATGCAGCCCAAGCAGTCCTCAGAGGCAAACGCAAATTCCTGAAGGAGATATTAGCAGGAGAGACCAGAGGAGAATGAGCCGAGTTTGCAGTTAAGACATTAGTAAATGAACTCACGAACACCTCCAAATGCAAGCACGAGGCATGAAAGGCTCTACTAAGCAAAAGAGAGAAGCATGGTTAAAATGTCAGTGGCCTGGTCTGTAACCGGAGCACATGGCGGTGATGGCTCCTCCTTTGAATGTGGGCACCAGGAATGCCTGCACAGAAAACCGTCTGTGCTCCTGACTGAGGTGGAGGCAGCACGGCAGACACCCACTCAGTGAAGCGTCGCCCTAGGTGAGGCGTGCCTCCCTCGCAATGGCGGACATCGCATGCTCAAAAGTCCTTTGCCAAGTTAGTTAGCAGGCAAAGCAGACTTTCTCAGAGTGTAGGGGCAGGGAGCGTCAGCGATGCAGACAAAAACCTTGGAGCTCCCAGGGGAGGAGCGCAGCTGGTCCCGCAGGGTGGGCTGGACTGCCTGAAAGTTTATAAAAACAAAATCCACCAGTTGAAACGTCTTTTCATATTGAGAGGGGACAGATCAATCTCTTTATGGAGAATGTCGCATTCTGGGCTCTTACCTTTAAGCTCGGCGTCTGGGTCTGATCCACAGTGAACCTCATCAGAATGTTGAACTGAAGGTCATTGGGGAAAGACTCTCTGGAAGAAAAGGGCAACAAGTGAGACCAGAACCACCACCCCTGAAAACAGACCGACGGCGCGCACAGCCACGGCGACTCTGGTCCTTACTTAACTGCGGCCAGCCAAGCTGACTGTCAACCCTAGTGTTCACAGCCAAAGGCCTCAGCTACCGGTCTGAGCAGAAATGAGTGGCTATAAAGCTAAAGCCAAATAGGGAATCCCTCTCAGGCAGATGGATGCTTCCACCCGGGCCCAAAGGCACCAAGAAGCCGCACGTTTGAGGACACCTGGTCACGTGCCCTGGGAGCTCATAATCAGCCCCTGACCCAAGAGAGGAACGGCAGGTAAACTCCAAAACCTCTCCCCATTCCAGATGAGGAAGACCGCAGCCTTCAGGAAGAGCATCTCAAGGCTGCCCCCATGTGACTGACATGCATGCCGACTCTCCCTCAGTGACTCTGGCATGGATAGGAGGTCTAGATCAGCCTGTCCAGGACCACCCCAGGATGACCACAGAAGGCAGACAGCAGCATCGCCCACTCAGATGACCCGGCTGCCCAGGAAAAGGCAACTCTCACCAAGTGCTTTCATTTCCATGGACTGCTGGTCCTGTCAGTGTGGACACTCTCTTCAATGGTGCAGATTGCAGCACGTCCATGTCTTCCAGAAGAGCTAATGAAAGGAACCAAATGGACTCCAAGGTACCATCAAGAACAGTGGGATGACTGGAAGATCACTATGAATGGACATATCTTATTTAAAAAAAAACAGGAGGGTGGGATGAGGGCGACATTGTATATTAAGAAGGCATATTCTTTTTTTTTTTTTTGGCTAGGCAATGGGGTTAAGTGACTCGCCCAGGGTCACACAGCTAGCAAGTGTTATGTGCTATATGTCTGAGGCTGGATTTGAACTCAGGTCCTCCTGAATCCAGGGCTGGTGCTCTATCCACTGCGAAGAAGGTATATTCTTATGTGGAAACCTGGGAATGAGAGGGGGGGACCATGGGGGAGCTATGTGTGTGACAGTTTCCCAATGGAGGGAGAAACAGAAGTGATTTTATTATTGACAAATACGAAAAACCACCCGTAAGTTTGGGATGAACAGACCCTTAGTCTGGTCCAGAAACATGGTACTGGAGGGAAGGAGGCCTTCAACATCTCTTTATCAAAGGCAGAGCAGGGAGTAATTTCTTGTCATAATGATGGTTTTAATCCTTCAAAAGGTAAGACAAACCAACAGAGAGAACTCTATTCTGGGTCTGATTCTCACCAACAGGAAGGAATCTGGTGTGGTAAAAATGACGAGAACCTTGTCGGGGGCAGGGACAGGGGGAGGAAAGTGAGTATTTCCCCCTCAAGCGCCACAGAAATGAGGGAGGCGGGACATAGCCTGACATGAGCCTGAGATTCTTGGGGAGCCGGTTTCGAAGGACGCTGTAGAATTTTAGAGGCAGGATGGCCAGAAAGGATAGGAAACTCATGGATGAAATCCTAGAAAAGGGTCAATAGCTTCACCAAGGAGGAAACCCTGAGCAGAGACGGGGAGACGGGCAGAGAAAGAGCCGCTCCACTTTGGTCTCGCTCGCCCCTGCCCCACAAAGGACAGAACCGCGGGGCTGTATGCCAGCAGAGATCGGCAGCTGTGCACATCGATGAAGAAGGGCCAGTGCCGCCACGGGCAGAGGGGGACGAGGCAGAGTCTGCATGCGGAAGAGTGGCAAAATTCCCTCGGAGTCTGGGGCGAGGGGGGTTAGCAAGCCACAGAGAGGAGGAAGGAAGCTGGGTTTACTGAAGAACACGACGGGAGGGATTTGGAACAGGTGGAATGGAGAGATGGAAACAGTTGCTGTGAAGGGGCCAACACCAGGCTGGTGGGGGGTCTCCAGGAATCTGCACGGCCCTGCGTTATTGAACGCTGCTCTTAATAACTTGGTTCGAGACAGAGCTTCCAGCTGATACAAATCTGGGAAGAGTAGCTCCCACACTGGGAGACTGAGTCAGGATCCAAAGAGCTGACAAGTTAGCCAGAGCACTAGGCTGCATCTAAGAAGATGAAATCTACATCATTATACCTTGGATTTAAAAAAGAAAAAACAAAAAACTGCTTCAAGCATAAGACATATTTAGAAGGATTGTAAAAGCCCTTTACATAAATTAAGCATTAATGGGACAACTAGCCACCTTCTAAGAGCTGACGGGACCTGGGGCTGTCTTAAGAAAGGTAGGAGGCCTCGCAGGAAGGAGGAGGGGAGATTTCTTCTGGGCTCTGTCTGGGTCAGACGATACCGGACAATCACGTGTCTCTGGCACCAGCACTTAGGAAGGATGCGATGAGCTGAAGTGCATTTAGAGGAAGATAATCAGGACAGTGAAGGGCCCTCAGTACAAGTCACTCGGAGGGCTGTCGTGTAGAAGAGTGGTGCTTGGCCCAAAGGTGGACCAGGAGCAGAGGGGGAAGGTGCAGAGGCACATCCTTGTGTGCCTGATGGCTTTTCAAGAGGGCCGATTCCTCTTCCTTGGAGGTCTTCAGGCAGGGGCTAAGTGGGTGATCACCGGTGGGGATCCCGGTGGGCATGGGCTGGACCAGAGCCATCCTGTCTGAAATCTCATGGCCACCCTCCAGCATTCCCCTGCTTGCTGCACTCTCCCTACAAACTGCCGGCAGTCAGGTGCGGTGGCCTCTTCCCACATACCCTCCACAGTTTGGATTCTCCAGAGATTACGGCTTTCGATTTCAAGGGTTAAAACTTGCTAACAGCAGCCGAGGCTTGTCTTTCCTTCCCAGTCAGTCTTGGGAACAGCTCACTGGCTGCCCGCAGCACACGCAGGCACTGAGCGGCCATTTGGTAGCAAGTGGTCTGAATGATGGGCCTGGGACTCCCTTCCACTCAGTGGTTGGGAAATGTCATTTAGGAGGTGTGGGTCCCCCCGCCAAAAAACAGCCACCACCAGTCAGAAGCATAAGGAGAGGGAATCCCCTTCCGTCTGCTGTGGTTACCAGCCTCTAGGCTAATGCGGATTCCCCTCATTAGTCCTCATTAGCAGATCACTGCTGAACCCACACCAGGCACTTCCTGATTCCCAGTCGTGGGCACTCCCCGTCCTCAGAAATTACGCCGTATTAGCATGGTGGAATGAGAAGACCCAGAAGGCACTCTGCAACCCTGACATATCGGCTGCTAACGTTCTTGTACTTGTTCTGGACTGAGTGCTGGGTCTGTGGCCTCACGCTAAAGGAGGCAAACCTGGACGCCTTCTTGGGAGCCGCTTTCCCAGCTGGCGAGCGCGGTTGGGTCACCACAAAAGCCCCATGAGACTTCAGGCCCGTGCTATTATCACAGCCCCCTCATCACTGTCCTTCCCCTTTCCACTCTTCCTCAACAGAGCTGACAAACGGCTCCCTACTGTCTCTAGGACACTAAGAAAGCACTCAACACTTGGTGTTCCCTATCAGATTTCGGTCCTTCCTTCTGGACTGATTAGACATTCCCCCACGCTTACATTCTCAGGCCCAGCCCAGGCTCCTAGATGCTACTTCCTACACAGGAGGGCACGCCAGGCTCACAGGAGCTCCCCCAGGCTGCCTCCTGTACCTCGGCTGACCCCCATGACTGTACCTGAGGGGGCATCTTCCGCCCTGGACCCCAGTGGGCTCATCCCCTTAGGAGAATGGAGGTACCTGAAGGGCACAGCATGCTTCTTCTACTTGACAGGCCCCTCTTCTTCCAGCTTCCTCTGGCCCCCTGATACTCCCTGCCTGTTCTCACGGGTGCTGGGGGCTCCCTCCCTCCCTTAACAGTCTTAACCACAGGGTCCCATCCTTGTGGGGAGCCGCTTTCTCCCTCCAACTCTGCCAAGGGAGACATTTTTTCTCCTTCATTTTTCCGCCAGGCCCACACAGCTACGCAGCCCAGCGAATGAATCAGCGTGCCCTTTACCCCTCTTGCTAGGACTGCCCTGCCCACTGGAGGCTTCCTCCTCCTCACCACAGGCTTAACCACGGCCCTGTCTGCTCACAAGCTGCCTTGGCCAGCCCGACGTTTATCCCCTTCCACCTCCTCCCCGCCTTCGCCATGTCTTATCACTCCACCCCAGACTCTGCCTCCCAGTGAAGGGTCTGCTGGGTGTGCCCTGGGCTCGTCGGCTTGCTTACTCACTGTCTCTCCTCCTCTCCACCTTGGGGGATCCCTGGCTCCCTCCAAGGCTCGCCTCTGTCCTCCACTGAGCTCGTACCCACTTATCTACATACACGCCCATCCCTGCTGCCTACCTCTGGCCCGTGCACAGGAAAGGATCACCAGGGATGGGTGGCCTGATTTTGAACTTCTTTCTCCTGGTCTCCCCAACCAAGTGCCCAGCACAGAGTACACATCAGCAAGCACTTGGCAGACAACCTCCTAAATCATTGGGGCCAATCTGGATTCCAGAGCTCTATCTGGGAGGTCCAGAGAATCTCATCTTACCCTCCTTCTGGAAGCCCAAGGGATGTGTTCCCAGCCAGACAGGCACTAAGCTGCAGAGTAGAACCCTGAACCCTAGGCTCTGCGTCCAGACCTGAGGTTCTTTCAGACACCCCGTTTTAGCTCAACTCCCCATAAACTAATCTTACACCAAATGGCCATGTTACCAAAAGTATGGGCATTTCTATTAAGATTAACAAATGGAACCCATCTGAATAATCTGAAATTAATTCAGAAAATTACACCCCAAGGAGGGCTCCCTTCGGGGTCACACCCAGAAGGCCCAGAGCCTGGGGGCCATCCCTGGAGGGCATTACCTGGTAATATCCAGGGCTTTCTGAACTTTGGCCTGCACGGACCCAAGCAAATCCGCTCCTGTTTTCTTCAGCAGCTGGGTCAGCAGCACAAAGAGCCAATCCTGAAGGTCATCTTTATGCACCTGGAGGAAGTCCACCAGTGTTTCCAGAAACATGCTGAAGACCTATAGTTGGCAGAGATGTGGACGATGAGGAGAGAAAAGGCAGGGAGAAGGACACACTGACCCTCAGGCTCAACTCAAAATGGAACCAGGAAGGAACAAAGGAGCCAGAGGCAGACGAGGCAGTGATTGGCAGCCAAGCAGGAAAACAATCTGTCTTGCCTTTCAGCGGGCTCTGCGATAGAAGAGGACACCTCACACATGGCCCGGCTTCGGCAGAACTGGGACAATTAGCTTCTACTCCATGCAGCGTCGCTCGAGAAAGGAAACCTCGCCATGATGGCTGACACACCTAAGGCCTCCAGGCTGCCGTGGCCAAGGCCGGCCAGGGCAGGCCTTCGGCGGACTCCCATGGACTCGGTGACTGCACGGGCCAAGACAGGCCCGCTCGGGGGCCTTCTAGCCGTGACAGCAGCCCGCCTGCCATCGGAGGCCACTGACCAGGAGGCGACAGGGGCGATCTGGGCTGGCCAGGCTGGCCCCAAGGACTTCAACCGCATTCAGCTTGGGATGGGAGGGCAGGAAGAATATGATAGCAGACAACTATGTACCTCTAAGTACTCGCTAGCTTAGTCCCAAGTCAACACTACATAATGATCCGTCAATGCAAAGAGGGAAAACAGGCCAATTTCAGGTTTTCTGGCATACGTGGACATTCAAGTTGTTATTTTTTACAACCGACCCAGAGGAATGTTTAGACAGCCTCTAGGATAGCCAAATATATTAGATAAAACATAAAATGCCCAAGGTCAAAAGCTCTGGCTAATTTCTGGTAAAGGAAACGTTCCCACTTTTTGAAATGCCGAGAAAAACACCCGAGGGCACAGGCTTCGGGGCTGCCTCAAGCGCTGAGCTGATCATGTTTACAGAAAAGGGCCTAGGTACGATGCTGATGACATGACACATACTGTAATATGGGGCTATGAATCTTAAATACTTAAGGTGAACAACTGATCAGTGGTGGTGGCGGAAAGAAAGGCAGCTCAAACTTACCAAACAAGACCTTACAGGGAATCCAGACAAGTCGACTTTCCTTAGCGTGTCCTCTCCTCTTTAGGATGTACCTAATTAACAAAAAGGGCCCTCCTGCCTTGGAACCAGGGTGAAGTAAACTAACCTCAGGAGAGCCACATCTGGAAGACAGAGGGCATGGATTTTCTATCGGTTGATTGTAGACTACAAAAGCAACTGGGCACGTCAGAGACTCCTCCCCTAGCGTAACAAAATCTTCCTGAGCACAAGCACACCCTGCAGAGGGCACATGCGCCAGACACTGGCCTGACCAACCTCAGCACCTCCTCCAGACAATCCCTGCCAGCAGACGTCCACAGACGTGGACAGCTCCAGGAGCATGCACTGGCCCAGTGGTCTCTTCTTGGTCCTAAGGTCTGGGGCTCAGGGGAACAAAGGAAGGCGTTTCCACATCCATCCTCCCGAACCGGACTTTGCTCCAGATGCCGTGACATGCATGGAGCCTGGGCCAGGAGTCAGCAGGACCTGAGTTCAAATCTGGCCTCAGACACCTGCTAGTCGTGTGACCCTGGGCAAGTCCCTGCGCCTCCATCTGCCTCATCTGTAAAATGGGGCTCCTCCCAGGGTTACTAGGAGGAGAAAACATAACAGGTACTTAAGAAATGCCTGTCTTCCTTCCTCCCATTTCAGAACTTGATGCCTGAGAGCTTTCTGCCCTTCAGGGTTCAGGCACGTGGGAGAAGCCTGGGCTGGGGAGCTCACTCCTCCCAAAGGCTCCACCAAGCGCCATTTTTGAAAAGGTGTGGGTGCCTTTTTATTTTTATTCTCTTCTTGGGTCCTTTGATAGGAACTGACTGTACTTCTTTCTTCAACGCTTCCTAGCCTGCCTTCTCCACCCGTCCCAGCCCCTCAGAGGGCATAGCCTTCTAGAGGGTAATGAAACAAGCATTTTTAAGCATCTACTGCGTACCAGGCACTTTTTGAAAAGGGATCTCATCTGATGCCCACAACCGCCCCAAGAGGAAGGTGCTCGAATCATCCCTATTTTACAGAGGGGGAAATGAAGGCAGACGGACAGCTTGCCTAGGGCCTGGTCCCACTGCTAGTATCTGAGGCCAGGGGCGCATGGGGGTCCCTCTCCCATAGCTCTCCTGCCTCCAGGGTCTTCGGCTGATGCTTGGAAGTCGGGCAATCTGAGGTACTTCCCCACCCCCACTGTCCTTCCTAAAATCAAGTGCCTCCTTCTGGATGGGCCTGACCAGAGGGTGCGGGGTGGACTTGGAGGCCATTAAAGGCCCAGATCTTTTCCAAAGGATCTCCTCCTGCCTCTCCCGTCTTAGACTCTCCACGGACCCCTACCTGACTCCTTCCCCTCATATTCGGCCCAAACAGAAACAAGAGGGCCACAAATCTGTCCAGAAGGTGCCCTGTAAACTGACTTCATTTTAAAGTGTCATCTTACCTCTGTTTCATTTTACTTTTATTTATTTTGCTAACTCTCCCCCGTCCTGCTTGTCTCTGATGGGCTGCCCTCCAGAGGATGGCAGCTTGCCTCTGACACACCCATCAGGGTCTTTCTGGACCCTGACACCCTCACAGTAAGGTCATCTGCAGATGGATGGATGTGCCATCATCTCGGACCCTGTCAGGGTCACTGGCTCTTCTGAGCCTCTGGCCCCCTGGATCAATCCAATGACTCATTTGGGCAACAGGGTTTACTGGCATCTAAGCGACCACAGGGCCACTCTGTCCTTGGGAGGTCCTGACAAGATTGGTTACTGACTAGCGGCCAGCTCTGAGGTTCCCAGGGCTTCTTGCCCCGTACCCCTGGGCCTGTCTGATGGCACAAGGGGAATGCCAGTGGGGCCGCCTGCTGCTCACCCACGTGCCGCCAACGTAAGAGATGCCTGACTGGAAGAGCAGATCTCAAGTTCTGAGTCGTTCGACCTACCCTCCATCTTCACTGTTGCTACTGGCCACTGGCAAAGAAAGAAGCAGCAAACGTGTTTGGCTGAGGAAGTCAGGATGTTTTATTTCCTAAGATAAAACTAGAAATTCTTTGACTAGCGATGACCTGGAGTCTATGCTGTCAGGGGAGGCGTTCCCTTACTTAGCACTCCTGACAGCTGCATGAGCTCATCTGAGGGTCAAGAAGCAAAAGGGAGGGAGCCTCTGAGCCAGCCAGTCTAGCGCCTCGCTCTCAGGCTCAGAGGCATTCAGGGACGCCCACGGTCACACGGGCACTGAGGAGCACGCGGGGGCCTGAGCTTGGGCCTCTGACGGCCGATTTGCCGCTGTCCCCCTGCATAGCAGCAGCCTCTTGTGACCCGATGGGCACAGGCTCCCCACGTGCTTGCTGAACAAGAGCCTGCTCAGCTAAGGATGGGGGGCAGGGGCCAGGGGCCAGCCGCGTTAGGTGTGCCAGCCATCATCAATTGAGGACAGAAGAACAGAACCCAATTATGTCAGTTAATTAGTAGATGAGAAAAGCACATCTCCAAACAGACCCACATGGTTTGCATAATTGTAAAGAGGGTTGCATTAATTGCAACAGGTCTGACACTGCACGAATCTTCGGGAGAGAAAAAGTAAGAGAGAAGAAGGGTTAATGTCATTGTCATGCAGCAGTTAGGTTTCCAACAAATATGAACCAACTTACTCTCTACCGAGAGTTCCGACACAGGAGACAGCATGCAAAAAGAAAAGGAAAAAAAAGAAAAACACACACATTAGTTGCCATCAATGCAAAGTCCCTGTATGGAAGAAAACACAGAAATCAAAGACGACCAATGTGGTTCTCCAAAATCTCATCCTTAATGTGACCCTCTCTTCCGACGTGAGCCGTCAACGGCAGGGGAGCAGAGCCCAGACCTCGATTCCTGGCAGAGCCCCTGGCCGCGGCAGCATCTGGCTGCGGGACCAGGGCCGGGGACCCTCTGCAAGGGAGCCCTCTTGGCCCAGCTCTGCGTGGGCAGTGGGAGGGCCAGGAAGAGAGCCAGAAACCTTCCTTCCCAGCCACACACTTATTTTATGCGTTAAAAAACCCCAGGGCTTCCCGAGTGGGTCCCTGACCAGGGTTGTGGGAGCAGGGTGTGTCAGAGGGAAGTCGGCTCTCTACCCTGCAATGCGGACCCTGATCTTGAGTCTATCTGACAAAACAACCTTGACAAGTTTTCTGGTTTAAAATGAACTGACAGGCAGCTCAGAGCAGCACAAATGAATGCCATTACTGTTGGACACTATTTTTGTTCATTCTGTTCAGCGTTTCCAACGACATTTTAATCTGGTTCAGGCTAGTTTTGGGTCCCGTGCTGTGGGCCGTGCCCCAGACTCTGTTCCTACCCGTGGCCATTCCTACAGCCAAGATGTGGCGCCTGGGGCAAATGTGGCCATCACCCCTCACAGGCCCGGCGTCCACAGGCAGAGAAAAAAACCACAGCTTTACACAGGACCTATGGGTCAGCTGAGTATCCATGGGGTGTCTGCAGATAGTAGATAGGGTGGAGCATTTCACAGAGGAGCTGGGTGCAAGCAGACATCCCTCCTCCCCCATCTCATCCAGGTGGAAAAGCTAGGCTGCTGTTGAACCCCAAGGCTCTGCCACCGCTCCTCAGGAAGCCCATGGCCTACTGCTCCATGTGGCTGCTAGGAGGATGAGGCCGGCCAGAAGTTCTCTGGGGGAAAGGGCACCCCCTCTGCCCCCATCCAAGCTGGAGGTCCCTGTGTTGGCCAGCTGCTCTGCCATGGTAAGGGACAGGAATGGAGCTGGCTGGCAGAGCAGGGAAGGTCCAGGAGTGGGATATAGACACACACACACACACACACACACACACACACACACACACACACACATCGATATCTATGTTATCTACACACACATATATACACACATAAATGCAGTTTGTGTATATATGTGTAGACGTGTGTGTATATGTGTGTGTGTGTGTGTATTATATGTTGCATTGTATCCACTGGGGTAGCTAAGTGGTCCAGGGGATACAGCTCTGGGCTTGGAAGCAGGAATACCCAAGTTCAAATCCTGCTGGAGACACCTGACCCTGGGCAAGTCACCTCACCACCATGTGCGTGCCTCATTTCCTTGCCTGCACAGTGAGGATGATAACAGCGCCTTCACAGGGCCATGGTGAGCCTCGGATGAGGTCAGAACTGTAAAGCGCTCAGCTCAGGGCCTGGTACGTAGGAATCACTCTATAAATGGGCGCTGTTATTACTGTAGTATAGAATACACACAATCATGCATTACATGCATGCATACACGCATGCCTAACTTATATTCACATCTGTCTCGCTCGCGACATCTCGTGACTTTTCAGGCCTTTTATTAAGGTTCACACGTGGAACAGTGGGATAGAGCGCTGCGCCTGAAGTCTGACTCTCACCTCGCCCCTCTGTGCCTCAGTTTCAACATGGGGATAAGAACAGAGCCTAGCCCCAGGGCTGCCGGGGGGCTCAGATGACACAATCTGCACTAAGTGCTTGACTGCGGCCAAAGTCAGTGCCTTTCGCTGTTGATGAGAAGGGCCCCTCCCCACTGGTGTTCCTTGTGAAGATGTAGTGGCCCAGGACCAGATGAGGGGCGGAAGAGGGAAGCAGAGCCGGCTGGCACGAAGGCTGCCAGAGCAGGAGAGGAAGGGGACGCGCAACCCCATCTTTCTAACCCCGCGATGGCTCGGTCCTCACGACTGAGGCCCTGAAGGGAGACGGGCCACTGAATAAGCAGCACCTTGTCAGGGCAGGTCACAGGACGTGTGCGTGATCCAAACTGGCCACAGTGTCCACTTCTGAGAAGTCCTTCACCCAGGACAGCTGTCCCTGGGACTCCCTGGCAATGCCTTCCCTCTCCCTCGGCTGGTGCCCTGCTCTGGCCTTCCTGCCTGGCCTGGGGCAGCCTGAGAAAGGCCAGCTGTGAGCGCTAGAGACGCCTGGAGGCGGCTCATCGTGCTCAGAGCTCTCAGTACACACCAACAGGTCATGACAGGCTAAGGCCGCTATCTCTTCTCCTGACCCTCATCTCCATTGAAGAGGCGATGAAGAATCTCCTTCTGAAAACTAACTTTCGGTTCTGGTGTAAAAAAAGAATCCTGCATTTCAGCCTCTCTGAAGTGTGCTGCATTATTTCTGGAGTGAAATGCTCCTTCACAGAAGAAGACAGGAGGCTGCCAGGAGGGGCAGCTGGGGAGCCCCAGAGCACCCACGCTCACATGGACCAGAGCCCAGTCCCCACCTCGGCTCTGCGCCTCCAGAAGGGATGTTCAGAAGAAAATGAACCTTCCAAGAAGGAGCTTGAGAGAGGAAACCATCTGTGCCACTGACTGGTCAGAGGGCCGAGAGCTTCCACTGGGCTATCACCTACCCTTTCTAAGGGACACGTTATACATAGGGAGGATGTTACCAAAAGGGGATAACATGTAAACACAGCGAGGGAGCCTGGGAGGCGAATGAAGGCCAGAGACCAGCCAGGGACATCTCGTGAAGGGGCTGTGGCTGTCCCTGCCCCACAGCCTGGCTCCTCCCATCAAAATCATGGTTAGAAACATTTCACAGCAACGAGAAAAGTCCACGTTTGAGGTCTGGTTCGGCCTTGGCTTTGCAGGTCTGATTATGGACTCCCATGGGCTTTGTGCCAGGAAAAAGACAGACAGACAGAAAGACAGACAGACACACACACACACACACACACACACACACACAGAAGGGCTGCTTCCCACTTGCTATTGGGGTCGGCACCCCCAACCCCCATGTGGGCAGCAGCACTGGGGGCCATACCGGCCACTCCGGCTTTTCAGTGCCCGTGTAGACAAGCTAAGCAGGCGAGGGGCTGTGATGTCAGACTTACCTTGCTGTGAGGGTCAGCGAACATCCTGGTGAAAATCTCACACAATCTTTTCAGCTCGACACGACTAGCAAAATGACAAAGCGCTGAATTAACGACCAGCCACAATTTCAAAAAGACATCTGAACCCTGCCTTCAGAAGTGTGACTAGGCCATAGTTTGCTGATCACCATATTGCACAGGGCCGAACAGGGGTGAGGGATGGGGCAGGATGGGGGAAGTGGTGACAGGGAAGAGTGGGCAGCGGAGGGGGTGTGGGTGTGAGTGCAAGAGTGACTGACACCTGGGGTCCGACAGTACCCTCCCGGGGTCTGGGGGGGGAAGGTCACAGACTAAGGACCCCGTGCCAGCCCGGCCTGCGCCTTCTGCCAGGCACTTTTCATCCTTCGTGCTTTCTGTTGCACTGACCATGTATCCAGGACTAGCCAGGATTCTGGAGCTTGGGGTCAGTTCATCTCCAAAGGGGATTTGGGGCTGTTTGGACTGGCCTGCTGACTTTACTGGGCTGGGTGTCTGGCTTTTCTACAAGATAAAGGCCAGTCCCTACCTTCAAAGAGTCCAAAGTAAAAAGGGACTGGAAAACACCCAGGCCCCCAAGAGACACCGCCATGCACAAAGCTCATGCAGGGCCTGGAGTCGACAAGGCCTGAGTTCAAATCCAGCTTCAGATCCTTCCTTCCTAGATCTAGGGCCCTGGGTAAGACCCTTCACCACGCCAGCCTCAGTTTTCCCAACTATAAAATGGGGGTAACGGCAGCACCTCCCTGCCAGGGTGGCTGCGGGGACCCAATGAGGTGGTATTTGCCTTCTATCAAGGCGCACCATGAGTGATGGTTAATTAAACTGAGAAGGATGGGCAGAAGATTAATGACTAATCACAGATTCCAGGAGGTGGATGAAGGGGAGCGGTGACAGGAGGGAGGGAGCTGAGAGCAGCTCGGGGTTGGGCAGGAAGCAAGAGCGGATGCCGGGTGGAGGCGCCCAAAGGCAGCGCTCCTTTGATGACTGCACCTTGACTCGGGGGAAGCCAGGGGATTGTTCCCCAGGGCCTGCGTGGCTCTCCGGGGCCCCCTCACCTCAGCGTCCGCTGGCTCCTGAGCAGGCTCTGAAGGCCCAGCAGGCCCTCCTTCCTCTCTGACCAGTTGGAGCTGGCACAGCGGTTCAGCACCTCGGCCACATCCTCCGTCTGCCGCATATAGGTGGGGATGCTGCCGTTTCGGGAGCTGTAGGAGCGCTCGGAGCAGGCGCTTGAGGCGTCGCTGTTGGCGTCGTCGTCCGAGTACACGCCACCGCCATATAGCTCATACCGCCTGCGCGCGGGCTTTTTCTGGGCACAGCAGGGCTTAGTGTGAGGAGACGTGTGCGGGGGACTGGCCATGCTCACACTTATGCCCTCTGCCCGCCGCCCGTTCCCAAATTGACGGCCCTTCCAATGGGCAGGGGAGGGAGCTTGCTCCCCAGGGCATCTCCTTCATCCCTGCTCCCTTTCCTTGAGGACTGCACCATGAAAGTTCCCAACGGCCAAGGGCCGCTGGCCTCGTGTCCATGCCATGGCATGCTACAGCCCCCGCCCCTCCCACAGCCAAGTGGGCTCAGGACCGAACCATTTCTGTGAGTCCAACTGGGCTGACCCGAGAAACCCGCTCTCAGCCTTCCAAGTCCGAGCAGGAAGAGAACACAGAAAGCTTCCTCCAGACCAAGGGCGGGAACCTGTGGCCTCAAGGCCATGTGGGGCCCTCTGACTGAATCCAAACTTCACAGAACAGATCCCCTCCAAAGGATTGGTTCTATAAAATGTGGATTCAGCCCAAAGGCCCTGGAAGGCCACATGTGGCCTCGAGGCCACGTGGGGCCCTCTGACTGAATCCAAACTTCACAGAACAGATCCCCTTCATCAAAGGACTGGTTCTGTAAAACGTGGATTCAGTCCAAAGGCCCTGGAAGGCCACATGTGGCCTCGAGGTGGCAGCTTCCCCACCCTGCTCTAGACTCTAAGAGGGGCTGGGGCACCCTTCAGACAGAAAAAGGAGGTGAGCGGCTGTGGCACTAAATCTGTGTTGAATGTAATTTGTGTGGGGAGAACTCTATGAAGCCCATGGATGGCAGCCCCACAACACTTCCATGAGCCAGAGGTCCTGCCCCAACTGGGAGAATTTTAAATTAGAACCCAGCCACAGAGTCATAGGTCATGAGACTTCCCAGGCACTATCTGAGCTGTTCCGCCAGTGGAGCGGGGGCGGGGCCTTACTCCGCGGGCCAAGAGATGGTAGTGCCCAGCTCCCTCCTGGCTCTCCATCTCTTTCTCTGCCTCCATCCTCAAGTCTAGGGTTCCGATCCTGCCTGGGAACCCAGTGTGACCTGACTTGCACGTCTCCTCTTTTGTCAGAGAGTTTAGCTGAGAATATGGTGCGTGGACACAGCACAGACAGAGAAACGTGGTCACAAAAGGGGAGAAAACAGCCATTTATCTACCTTGGTCCGCATGTCTCCTAAGAGCTGAGAGCAGTGAATTATCAAAGAGAAAAATGGAGAACAGTGAGAAGATACCCGTTAGCCCTCCCTTCCTTCAACAACGCAGGCTCCCCAACACAGAGCCGGCCCCCAGAGGGCAGGGAGCCACAGCAAACACCTCCTCAAGAAGCAGGCCTGGCTGCTGACCCCTCCCATTTCTAACACTGAGCCCTCAGAAGGCATGACAGGACTGGGTCAGTCAGCCGGTGACCGGCGGTGGCAGGACGTCTCCCTCCCGGAAGAGTTCTGTGGGAACAGGGGCACGCCCGCTCTACAACCCAATGGGTCAAAGGAAGGACCGCCAAAGGCGTGCAAGAGAAGATGAAAGCTTCTCTTTCCCACAAGAGACATCTGCACACTCCCAAAGCCATGAGGCTTCGACACAGGGACAAGAGGCTAAAGCAGGCTTCGGTATGGCCAATGATGTTACAAAAAAGGTGCTTACAAACAAAAAGAAACTCGCCCTAAATAAATCCTGACGGGGTGCTTCAGGCCTTTGCCCCTCGGGAACCTTTGCCCCCACGAGCTCAGGAAGTTTTCTTTTTTCCCTTTAAGAGTAACTGAAACTGCTCCCCAGAGAATGGCCCATCCCCATCGGGCTCCCTGGCAGAGGATGGGAGAGTTCCCAAGCATGAGAGCACAAAAGAGGGAGACAATGTGCATGCTTACCAAGGCATCGGCGACGGCTTCTTCCACGTCGGAGCCCGTGTTCAGGACACGCATGGCGCTGACGGAAGACGACAAGCGGCTGGACTGACTGATCCCGTAGCCCGCCCCTGCCGCGACAGAAGGAAGCTGAGTATCACATCTGCCCCTGGAGCCACGGTGTGGGGTTTGGAAGGCAATGGGATGGACAAGAAGCAAAGTAAAAATGAGGGAGGAACAGCAGTTCAAATGGAGCCTGTGTGGAGAGCCACATGGGTCAGGAGCTGAAGCCAGGGAGACCGGCCTCCTCTCCAAGCTGGCAAGGGCTCCTGCAAGAAGCCCCAGGTCTAACCCAATTCAGATTTCTCCAGCTCAGGCCGTGGGCCTGACGTCATGTGAAGTGCTGTTGACAGAGGTGAAGCCAAGCCCCCCAGAGGGGGGCTGCCCTGGAAGGGATTAGAGCGGGTGTGTGTGTGTGTGTGTGCGCATGTTCAAAGCAAGCACATAAAATGGACCACAAGTGTACATCTCGATGTTAGAAAACGACATGCAATGGAAAAACCAAGAGTCTAAACATGACGGGACAGAAAACAAGAGAAGGAGAAGGACCCCAAGAAGGCAGCGCCACAAATGACCGCTCTACGTAGGGGGATTCTCTAGCGCAAGGCCCAGATGGAAAGAAATCAATCAGGGTCTGGGAAAACAGGGGTGGATGATTCAACGGAAATTCAGTTAGAACAAAAGCAAGATGATGGCAGAGCCGAGAGCCAAGGGTACTCATCCTTCACCTGTGGCCCCGCAAACATCGGGGGTGTAGAGGGCACCTGTCGATCTGGAGTGATGCCTGGAAGCTGGAATAACAGGACCACACAAAGCCTGCCTGTTACCACGAGAAGGGAGCGGGGGCCACGCGAGCAAGCGAGGGAGTGAGCTTGGGGGGCCCAGGACACGCACGGCACTGCCCCGGGGCAGAGGCCCTCTGTGCACAGGCATGCTGATGCAAAACCAAAGGAGGCTTTGGATGGGAGGCAAGGGAAAGCTGAGGCAGAGGACAGGCAGGGAGGAAGGCCGGGGCCCAGACCCCTCCCTCCAGAGGGGCTTCCCTGAAACTCCCTCCTTGCTCTCTCCTGGGTGGGCAATTACTTTAAGAAGAGGCATTTCCCACAAAATCCAGGCTATTCTCCTGAAAGAGATCTGGCCACAACCCTAAAAAATGTTTAGCACAATGGACACTGGGACAAGCACCCAGTCAGGCAGCATTCTGAAATTCCCATTGTGAAAAGAAGAAAAATTCGTTTGCTATTCTTCCCATTGGCTCTGTGCTTCAAAAGGCAAAGCCAAGAAAATCAGACACTTTAAAAACTCTAAGCTTTAGCAGGCGTACCTAATTTTAAAACCAAATTAAAAACTATATATGTGGCATTTAATTTGCAAGGAAAAAGTAGGAAATCTTTTTTTCACTCCATAGCCAAATTTCAGCTTAAGAGCCCTAAAGCCAAAATGCATTTTCTGTAGATGAAAGAGTGTCTGTCCAGATGGGAATCAGATCACATTTCTCCCAGGCTCTGGATGTGGATCATGCAGCTACATGTTCCTTTCAGGGCTCAGGCCAGAAGGGAAAAACTCTCCAGCCTGGATGGGTCAATTACCCAACGTCACTCTGTGGCCTGTGCCTGCTCCAGGCCTCACCACAGAGGGCTCAGAACGAGAAGGCAGAAGGAAGCAGCTTCTTGGCTCAGTCTGCAGAAAACTCAATCCGTGGGCATAGTGGCCGTGGACCTGCTATCTCCTCAGAAGGCAGCTACTCCAGGCACAACTCTCCCTTAGCGGGGCCCAAGGGCCCAGGCCTACCTAACCCTAAATGCACCACTCTGGGCACATCTCTCACCCAGGTGGGACCCAGGGTCTGTTCCCGCCTAGTCTTAAATGCCCTGCTCCCTGCACAGCTCTCTCCCAGGTAAGGCTGGGGGCCCAGGACTGTCTAACCCTAACACACCTACACCAGTCCCTGGTCCTAATTGCCTGCAGGGAGTGTCCAGGGCAGAGTGATCTGGGCAAAGCAGGATAAGAGCAGAGTTAGCACCTCCTCCAGAAAGCAGCAGAGTCCAGGAGGCTCAGATGGCGGGACCTCTCTTCCTACAGAAGGGGCCTCCCTGCACAGCACCCCAGAAGGCCAACAAATCCTGCTAACAGCACTTGTTAAGGAAAAGGAAACCACTTATTTCTATCACAAGCCAAATTCAGAAGTCATATAAGAATTAGAAGTCATGGGCGCCCAGTACCTAAAGAACCAATCCAAGTTTGGCAGGAATGGCCAGCCTGAGTTTGTCTACACTTTGGGGCAGGGAAGGAGGCTCCTGGGTGTGAGTGGAGGAGCACACCTGCCTCCTCCTGGGGCTTCTGGTGCCTGCGAGTGGAAGGACATGGAAGGTGGGCACAGGAGAGCCCCAGCACGAGCCAGCCGACTAGGGGAATGTTTGTTGTGTTAATAGCAATTGTGGGATTTTAGACCCAAAGTGTCTCAGAGAAAAAACCTGAAGGGAGTGAATGGGGAGCTCTGCTTATGCCACCCTGACTCCTGCACACACACGTGCACACACTTCCAGTGTGCTCTCTTGCCCCTTCCTAACACCCTCGTTTCCCCTCTCCTTTGACTGTGATGGAAAGTGGTCATGGGGATCAGTGGACCTGAACTTTCCACACTTGGCCAGGGAGTGCCAAGGCAACCGCGGGCATTCTCGTGTCTCTGAACCTGCTTTTCTCAAGAGAGACAGCATTGGAGCTCACTTTCAGGGCCCTTGGGGCCCGAGCACAGGGGTTCGGACCCTCACTCACAGTCAGAACTGGCTGGCTCCTTTGGTCTGTGAGGACTCCCAGCCTGGGGCCTTCACAACACCTTAGATGCAGCACTTTTCACTGCCCAGAGATGCCAAGCTAAGTTCTTCTGGTCTGACCACAGCCTCGGGACTTACTCGAGGGCAGGGAAAGGCCAGAGCCATTAACTTGCTATGGGTCATAGAGGGAGCTGAGACCAGAATGGCTCTCAAGGCCTCCCCCACGGCGATGCCGGAAGTGGAAGTCGAGGCTTATTGTCCATCTGGGGCAGCAGAGGGCAGGACAGAGTCACCAGAAAATCCTGGACAATGCTGGCTTCCCTCCACACCCCAGAGATGGACACAAGGGCATTGGGACAGGCCTCCAGCCTCCTCGGGGACCGTTGGCACTGCGGGGGATGGCAGGAAACACGCAGTGCCCACCATGGGCCACGCCCCGACGCGGTGACGGGAGACGGATGAGACGAGGTGAGTGAGGCCATGCCGCCACAAGTCGCTGAGTACTCACCCAGGGGCTGGAAAGAGCGGACCGGACTCGTGTCTCTGCTGCTCTCCCGACTGGCCTCGCGGCTGCAGCCCTGACTCACGCTGGGGCGAGGGATGCGGCTGCCTCGCGCTGCACCCACCAACCGGCACGAGGGGATGAGAGGACATAAGAAAAGATGCTCTTTAATGTGTGGCTCCCTGAGGATCGCTCCGGGCGGCCTCCAACCACCTCCTGGGCTCTGTCTGCTAAGGGGGAAATCCCCTCCGATGTCCCTCTGCCCACCCCCTAGAAAAGGGTTTCTCGCCACAGGACCAAGGCCACGGCCTCACCATCTCTGTCCAAAGTCTGCAGGGAGCATCTAGCTTTGGGCAGCACCTGCTGGAAAGGAGAAGCGGGGAAAAACCGGACCGCTTTCAATAAAATTAAATGTCACTGGAAAACCCAAGGCAAAGCAGTGGGTCTGCTTGGTTGGGTCAGTAACTTAAAGGTCTGCTTCCAAACAAACCCTTAAAACCAAGAGCAAGGCAGGAAGACAACAGGCAGGACCACAGGAACACAAAGGAAGCTGGTGAAGCGCGCAGGGACTCAGGGGGATGCTGGGCCTGGGGGAGCCCTTGGGAAAGCACAAGGGAGACTGAAAAGGCCAGAGGGCACACAAAAGCCTTACCTACAGAGAGGCGAGAAGGGCTGGCCTCTCGACTACAGCCCTGGCTCCGAGGGATCTTGCTTCGCTTCTGGGCCGATGCAGGACTGACCAGCGCTCTCTGGACGCCTGAGCTCACGGTGGAGAGTGCGGTGCTGGCTAAAACTCTTCCTGGGGACCCCGAGCGGCTGCCAGCTAAACAGTGGAAGACAAGAGATGAGAGAAGGCACAGGAAGTTTCCTAAGCAGTAGGAAATTATGGGAGGACAAGTGGGATGGCCCACGCAAAAGGAGACGAGAAGCTGGCCAGAGCGTGGGCTCGGAAGCCTCGCAGTTCCCCTGCAGGCAGGCGCCTTCCCCAGGCAGCCTCAGCGCACAGAACACCCAGGAGACCCGATTGTCCAAGGACGCAGCCACGAAGCTGCCTCGCATCCAGATTTGTGAAGGTATTCTAAGTGTCGTGGGCAGAGGGGCAGGGGCTCAGAGGGAAAAGCGAGGGCCCGCGGAAGGCGATGGGAGTCCGGCCACTGAGGAGGCTAAAGAAGGCACATGTGTGTCAGGGGCCTCCTACACCAAAGGGATTCCCCCTGGGACAAAGCAGAGAAGCAGCCATCTGGCCTCTGCTCAGGGGCTGGGACAGCTCTCCTCCCCTGCCCCCATCTCTGAGGCCTGAACGCTGGCACCCAAGAGGGTCTGAGCCTTCCCCTAAAGGAAAACCCTCCCAAGGCAGCTCCGCAGAGACTTCCCCTCCAGCTGCTCAGACATTTCCCATTCCTTTGGCCAGTCCAGGCCCTGCACCACCCCGGTCCTCTCTACCACACATGCCACTCCCGAGAAGGGCCGAGGAGGGCCTGTGCCCTCTGAGCACAAAGCAGGGCTGATGGCCCCTCAGGCCTCTGCCAATGGGGCCCATGTCAGCCCAAGAAATTTACCTCTAAGACACCCAAAGTTTTTCTTATTTATTCAGCCCCATGCCCTTGGCTATCAAGGTCCTTTGGGACCCAAACTCATCCACTGTTAGCACTCCCTCCAAGCTTTGAGTCATCTGTAAACCAGACCCGTGAACCTTCTCGGTTGGGGTCTTTCTCCAGTTCACCGATAAAAACAGCCAGTAGCCTTGGGCCAAGCATGGCTTCCCCGGGCACTCCCCAGGAGACCTCCTGCCAGGCTGATGGTTAAAAGGAGTCTGGCCGCCCAAAGAGGTCCGTGTGCACATGTGGGAGAGTCATCAATTCTCTCCCTAATAACTCATTCAAGAGTTCTCCCAGGAGCCAAGTCCAGATCCCAGACGGAGGTTATGCACTCTCCCTTCCTCCCCTCGTTTTTCTCCCATCTCTCTCCTCTCTCCCTCCCCCTTCCCCCCAAATCAGGCTGCTGGTTGTACTATAGCCTCATGCAGCCCCCTCCTGTTTTCTACCAGCTTTCAGCTATCACAAACACTGATCAGCTGGCGCCTCCAGGACATCCAGACTGGGGACGAGAGCTAGCAGCACTGACCCGGGGCTGTACTAAGCACTTTACAACTGTGAGCTCAGGCACTCCTCGCCAGGGCTCAGGGAGGGAGGCGCCAGCATGATTCCCACTCTACAGCTGAGGAGACTGTTGGTTAAGCGGGGTGCCCAGGATGACAGCTAGGAGCACATGAATGGGGCTGGACCTGCGCTCAGGGCCCTTATCTCCAGGCCTGCCCGCTTATTTGACACTGGGCATTGACTCTCTGCTGCTCATTTTTGTTCCCAAGATCATTCCCCTCATGGAGCAGCCAAGACCCTCCTTCTGGACCCCTCTGTCTCTGTCTCTGTCTCCCCTGGGGTGGGGAACAGGCAGGCTACAGGTAGTCCCCCCCACCTCGCCCCTATCTTGGCAGCTCAATCTCTTCTGGCTTGACTTGAAGGATCCCTGGCAAATATGTTATTACCAGCCATTTCTGGCCAAGAATATGGCCCACCTGCCCAAAGTCTAAGCCGGCCGGCCAACTGCCCAATTCATTTTTCTCTTCCACGTCCTTTACCTCCAATGAGCAACTGGGCGGCCAACCGCCTGAGACTTCTACAACTGCTGCAGACTGGGAGCGTCATTGCAGACGTCCCCGTCTCTGTCTGTCTGTCTGTCCTCCTTTCTAGATGAGTGTGGGATACGTAGCCAGGGAGGCCGCTGAGCCTGAGCAGGGCAGGGGCCAATGCTGGACAGAATGCCGGGAGGTTAGGCATTCAGGCCAGGCCTTGAAGAAGCTTTCATTCCCTCCTCCAGATTATCTCCATGTCTTCCCACAATCTGTCCCAGACCCGGCCAGGCCTGGCCAGCTCCCTTCTCCTTCTCCAGCTAGTCCTCCAGCCTCTTCTGCGTTCCCTAATGGGCCCAGACCCCACTCCTCTCACACCAGAAAGGAGAAAGTGTTCTCCAAGCCGTCCTCAATTTCTCCTCTCTCTGGGCAAATTTCTTCTCTTTCAGATCAATGCCTGACCAACTTCACTAGTTCCAACCCGCCCTGTCCCCTGCAGGGCTCTCTTCTTCCAGATCAATCAGTCTCCTTCTCCCTCTTCCTCTCCTTTCCACGGAAGCAGGAAGCACCTTCCAACTCTGAGATTTTAAACTGCTGGGGGTTAAGAATACGTGAAGACGCAAACTGCCCTTTACAAAGCCCCAAGCAGGATGAAACATGGTCCAGTCTCCCCCCCTTCCCCTGCGGGGCTGGTCCAAAGTTCTCTTCTCAAGTTCTTGGCATTTTACGTGGTCCCCCCATGCCACCGACTGTCCCAGGTCAGGCAGAAGCCATGTTTCTATTCCAGCAGATTCTAGTCGTCAGAGACGAGGCCACGGCAGCCTCACAAGGGAAGAATCCCTCTGTGGACAGGCAGGGTGATTCTGGGAAGGCTCCTCCAGGCAGAGGCTTTTCCACAGAGTGGCCCCCAGAGCTCCCCAACACACGTCCATGGACCCTTCCCACCCCCAGCCCCCTGGCCACAGGCACGCGATGCTAGAGTCTCATGGAGGGTGTTATGGGCACACCTGACTGGATGCAGACCACACACAAGTGAGGCACAAGGCACACGGCACACAGTACGACGTCAAGGCTGATGTGACAAACAGCTCTATTCAGCAGAGACACCACCAGGCAGAAAACTCTGGAGCCCAGACGCTGCTGAGAACAGAGTGGACGTTCTCTGGATGGCCCCGTGGAGGCTGGGATGGGGGGGGTGTCTTCCCTGGCCCACAAACGGTCCCAGGGCAGCGGGTGCCCCAAGCCATGGCAGCTTCACTTACAGCTGCAGTAAGCATGTCTGAAACCGTCCCCTCAGGGAGCCCAGGCCCTCCCGGCCCCTCCCACCTCATCAGCAAGCAGGGCGAGCTAGGGGCAGAAGCCTGCCTCGGCTAGCCACAAGGCTCACTCAAGGGCCGTTCTAGTGAGCTGAGGGACCAGGGATCCTGGGCAAGGGGACAGCATCTGTGCGGTGCAGAGGCAGCCGGGGCCCCCCGGGGCAACCGTCCCATGAGTGTCAGTGACGGGATCCCCAACCAGAAGACCGTGCCTGCAACCCAGCCTCGGAATGAGGATCAAGAGGCCCTGGGCTTATGGGGGTCCTCCCTGACCGAGGCTTGGTGATGGTCAAGAGGAGGGAGGGCTAGAGCTTCTGCTGAATAGAGCACTCTCTGGGAGATACGGATGGGTGACGGAAAAATGCATGCGCACATCCAGGCTGCGGGTTCTTACCGCCCATGGGGTTAGCCGACTGGGATCCTTAGCGGGCGTGAAGAGGGAGGGAGCAGAAGCAGAGCAGATTCAACACAAACAGCAAACAGGAAAGGAACGCTTCAGTCAGTTCACACCAACAAAGATGGCCAGACGGCCAGAACAATGCCCCCGCCCCGCGGGGCGTCTCAGGCTCTCCTGGCCAGGCTGAGGAGATGCTCAGGATAAGGCAGAGGGGCCCACGCCACAAAAGCCAGCCTGCCCGCTTCATCTTTTCAATGGCCGACCTGGGCGGCCCCGAAAGGATGAAGGCAGCCGACATGCACTGGATGGACTCATTCTTAGGAACGGTGGCGGTTCCAGGCCAATGAGGTTTGGAGAACTCACAAGTGAAAAAGCCCAATCCCAATGAACGAGGCACTATCATGAGAACAGAGGCCCGGGACCCATTCAGGCACACCAACCACAAAGGGAATCTGGGGCTTGTGTATGGAGCCACCCCCACCCCCACCCCTAGCCCAAGCCCCAGCCCTGGAAGTCTTATCACTCCCATCCCCTTTTACTTCTCTGGGGCAACAATTGTAACACACACCTGCTTCGATCCAAGAGATCCGATGGGATTTTTCTTAATGGTGATGTAAAAAACATGGAAAAACCAAGTATTACGCTCCAGTGGAACTGGAGAACAGAGACTCATGTATCAGTGACCATGTCTCATGGCAAGGGTTATTCCCTAAAGGGTCTTGGGAACACAAACATGGTCAAACACACCAGAAAACCTCCAACCCCCAGATTCCCGAGGCTCTGCAGCCACCAGCCTCGGGCCTTTGTGGGACTGGCTTTTAATGTCACAGACTGAGTTTTGGCCTAGTAAGCAGAAGGTCCGCTCCATAGGAGCAGAGCCTGAACTGAGCCTCCCCTCCAGGCCCTAGCTCCCTTGGCCAAGACCAGACCCATTCCCTGATGGGGGGCTGTCCTAGGAAGTATGTGGCTCCCAAGTAAGAACTTGAGGCTGCCTTCCCTGGCTTTCCTTCTGGTCTCCCTCACATGTTCCTTCAACAGAGCAGGGCAGGTACCCTTCTTTCACATCACTTGTCAGGTAAGGTGCAATCGGCAGAAGCCCCCGATGGGGGCTCATTTTCTGGACTGAAAAGGTTCGTGTAGACAGCAGAGATGCCAGGTTGGCTTTCCAAGGGCATCCAGTGTTTAGCCAGGACCTTACACGTACATAGCAGGAGTTCGGGGGTAGAATGTAAAAGCCAGAACTTGGGCCATCTAAAAAGGGGCTTCTTTCCTGGGCAAGCCCAAGTGAATATGTGTTACTAACACCTGGTCTCCTCAGGCCCATGGGCCACCAGAATCTACTGGGATCCATTCTACATGTGTTCTCCATGAGATCACAGATGGGGCCCTCAGGTTTAAACTGAGGACAGATCTTGGATGGGGAAGTGATCGGGCCTCGAGACAGTTGGTCCTGTCTGGCTACCTAGAATCTGAATTCTTATTCCTAATATTTTTCCTTCAGCCACATAAAAAGCTGGACAGTCTCAGTCTACAGTAGGGTCTCTGCAAGCTTGCTTAAAAAACTGTGATAAAGGGGCAGCTAGGTGGCATAGTGGAGACAGCACTGGCCCTGGAGTCAAGAGGACCTGAGTTCAAATCTGGCCTCGGACACATAAACTTCTTAGCTGTGTGACTCTGGGCAAGTCACTTCCCCCACTGCCTCACTTAAAAAAAAAAAGCAAGGTTTAAAAAACCACGATAAACAGGTTTCAATAAGATTGGTTTTTTTGCAATCCGAAGCCCTTATGTGAAACATTCAACACCAGCATTTTGAGAAGGCCTACTGATTCATGATGCCAACCTGGTGAACCGTGCCCAGCTGGAGGTCAGCCCTGCTCCTGTTTCACCACAACCCTTCCCCTGATGCCAGAGATGTGAAGGGCCAGTGGAAATCCCTGCGAGGGAAGCAGTGGGAATGCTGCCTCGAGCCCAAGCACAGGGAGGAAATCTGAATGCCACACAAAGATGGCAGAGGAATTTCCCAGGGATTTACAATTTTAGTTGTGATAACCAAGTGAGTGATGAATGAACATGTTATTCTGAAAGGACTGCAGATACGGCCCCTCTGGGTCAGCGATGCCTTCGTGAAAACAGGGAAAATCATGGGAATGACGACTTCTCCAAGTGGGCTAGCCCCACCCCGGCACACAGCAGGCGCTTAGCCAGTGCTTCTTCCCCTCCCCCTCCTGTGAAGAAATTGAGGCAGCACATACCTGCCTGCAGTTCGAACCAGAAACAAGGTACTGCAGCAGCAGGTTCTGAGGGAGGACAAGGAGAAATCACCTTGTGTGCTCATCCTTCCACCCGCATGAGAGGCTGGCGCCAGCTAAGAGTAGGGGACCTTCTGACACGGGCAGGGATGCGGGGCGGAGTGGGAGGGGAGGGGAGGGGTTCTGATCTGAGCCAGCCCTAACAACACGCCCACACCACACAGCAGCCCCAGAAAAGGGCTTGTCACATGCACCGCCACCATGCCACGCCGCGCTGGGGAGGTACCTTCGCTTTTGTCAGGTGACGAGGAACCTAAGACAAGAAGGACAACTCAGTGGGCAGCCTTTCTCTGGCCAAGAGCACGGCCGCGCCCATGTCTCGCCTGGCTAGCACATGGCCCACAGGCCGGACCAAGAGAGCAATACGTACGCTGAGACTGGGAGACCATCTTGGTCCTGCTGCGCCCCCGGGAATCCGCCTTGGAGTTGGCCACGCCTGCCACGGCCGTGGAAAGCCTGGATCTCATGCGACCTGAGGAAGGAAGTCTGTGTTATTAGGGGGTTCCTTCTGGGGCCCTGAGAAAGGCTCACGTCACCACTTTCTATGCCTCGCTAAACTCTGTACTTCTCAGATGAACTGAAGTGAACGTCTGCTGCGGCTAAAACCAAACAGGACTACGCCCTGCCAAGTGGGTGCGTCTGGACGCCATCTTTGAAATGGAAGAATGACAAAGAGACCCCAAACGCCGACAAACAACACTGAAATGAGATGTCTCACTTCCACCTCTCACATTCACATGCATTTTCTCCCCTCGTGGCACGCTTCCTTACTGGGAAGTGCCTGGCTGTCCCTGGCAGTCTGACACCAGCAGGCCACCACCTTTTTCTTCCTGTAGAGGAAGAGCCGGATGACCCCCTTGCCAGCGGGCACCCCCGTCCTCTAGTGTGTGGAGTGTCCTGCACCTGTGTGCTCCGGTAGGAGCTGGGGACGGGCTCCGCCTCCTGCCGGGGCACCTGCACGGCTACAGCTAGACCAGCACACATTCCTTGTTGGCAGCAGGAAGGAGGACGGCTCTGCTCAAACTTACTTGAGAGTCACCAAGTCTCCTCCTTAAGTCTTGGTGGATTGTAGTGGGGACCATCCCACTGTACCTTGGGGCCACATATCAACTTAGAAAATGACATAGTAACATCATCTATGCTTTACCATAGTTTTATTTCATTAAATATTTCTCAATTACATTCTGCCTGGGTTTCGGCTGTATTCGAGTGTCGTGGGCCACGTTTCTGACTTGGACCAGATGTCACAAGCCCCAGGGAGAGAATGTTGGCAGGGACCAGACAATCTCCCTTTTTCTACAGCCACTGGGAAGCCCCATTGCCCTGGCAAGACTCCTGGCCAGAAACCAGGGCCTGGCAATCTGCAGCTTGGGGACAGAAACAGGGGGTGCCCATGGCTGATACAGGACACAAGGAAATTGGGAGAAAAGAAACATGTGAAACTAAGAGGTGGAGGGGAGAACATGAGAGCAAACAGCAATAGGCCATAGAAAAGGATGGACCTGCAGGAGGAGTAGGCCGGAGGCCAACCCCACGAGCCCACACCAGTGATCTCCAGATTCCCAGCCTGCCGATAACATGTTCAACAAGCAGGACAGACCGGGCCCTGACTGAGTGGGAGAAGGGGAAGAGATGCTGCGTGGGGACCATCAATTTGGCTCCACCCTGACATGCCCAGTGCCTGGACCAGACCAGGGAAGCGTGGTACTAGGAGGGCCTAAGCTTCTGAACGGGGAGACCCAAGCCCTCGTGGAGTGACTGTTTTGATGCCAACTGGAGGGCCCTGCTAAACCTAACCCCCTAGTGGTGCTTCTGAGCCCCAGTGAGATCATCACAGATAGCAGTACGTGGCCCCACCCAAAGCAAAGGCAGGTTTACATGAAAAATAAAAGTAAAGCGTTACGCATTTTATTGGAAAAGGTATGATTCCATCAACCCACTTTTATACTTGATGTGGTTAAACATGTAAAACAATGATGCTTGAGCAGCCAATGGTTGCCTGGGATTCAAATGAAAATCACAAGCAAAGTGATGGCCCCTCCCCTGGGAAACCCCATACCTCCATATGCGCTCACGCGCAAACGCGCACACACACACACATACACGTGCACACGGGCACCCACAAAACAAGTGGAAAAGCCAAGGAGGTATTAGCATGAAATCTCTGAGAGATGGTCTTAGTTTGCTTTTAAGGTGAATGGCAACATTATGGTCAAGGGTTCTCTGTGCTAGCAAAGAGGGGGTGTAATTCTTACCATCTTCAGAAGCTGTCCCTAAACAGGAAAAATAAAATAACAATGACATTTCAACCAATTCTACAGTGCATGAGTTCAACACCTTTGAGAGAGATGTGATACTTGGGAAAAAAATGGACAGCGCTACAGGGCCATTCAGGAATCCTCAGGGCCGAGAGGAACCAGCCTCTCACTATCCCAAGTGAACGTGGCCTTAGACAAGGATGCCTGGGAACTGGGGATTTCCATGTCTGAGCCTGCTTAGTTTTGGATGGCAACAAAAGCCAAAAAGGATCTGGGAGCAGATGGTGACCCCGATCCCAGAAGTGGCCTCCCTCGCCAACCACAGAGAGGGGGTAGGCACTCACAGTGCGCCCTCCTTTCCTGTCTCCCTTGGCCAGAGCAGGGACCTTCAGACGTGGCCGAGAACTGCCCTGGTTTCCTGGTCTTTGAGCGTGGGGCTCTGACCAGCTCAGGCTCAACTCCCCAAAGTGTGACCAAGGATGTGTTCTGACCCTACCACTACGACCCGCGCTACAGCAGGCAAGGCAGTTTGATGTTAGAAGGCCCTCGTTCAAATTAAAGGGACATCGAGAAACCAAAGGATTCCTTGCTTGGGACTAGAAAAGAAAAAGGAAACATTCGAGGACCCTAAAAACCAGCCCAGAGGCATCAGGATGCCCTCTTGGGGGTTGTGCCATTTTCCTCAATTTCAGTTAGAAACAAGCACGATAACCCATTTTCAAAAAAGCAGCAGCAACACAGCCTGGGCAGGGGGAGGCCACCTGTAATTCCTGAACTCACAAAGCCCCTGAATTTACAGAGGGCAGGCTGTTGGCCGCCCGAGGCTAAGCAACCCGGGAATTCACGTAGTGGGCAGCATGGGGCTGGTGCCTCACCCCACCAGGCCCCCGAGGGAGGAGAACCAGATGGCCTCTAAGGTCCTTCCAAGCCTAACTTCCACTCCGGCATTCACGACAAAGACCAGTCAGCCTCATTTGACCTTTCCCAAGAACACGTGCTTTTTTTACATGAAGGGCTGGGAAAGCCCAGCGTGGGCAAGGAGAGATCTCTTCTCCCACCCCAGAAGGGCCAGAGGAACATTCCAGAACAGGGAGAGGCAGGGACAGAAAGCATCAAGCCCCATTTCTCCGCGTGTTCACAAAGACATCGGGCTGTCAGGTTCGAGGGTCAAACAGAAGGAAGTGCTTACCATCCGTCTTGTCTGATGCATCCTCTTTGGCAAACAGGTAAGCAAAGGACAAAGAAGAGCTCAATGGGTTAGGGGGAAGGCGCAAGATGCCCATCAGACGTCCTCCTCCCAGACGCCTCTCCTGTGCTGGCAGGGGCTAAGGCCTGCAGACCTACTGGGTGAAGAACCTCTGGTTCCTGGGCCTGGAGTAAGGCCGCAAACTCCCCTGCCGCAAAGGCAGAGGAGCATCTGAGAAGGAAGACGGGAACAAAGCCTGCGACGCTCTCTCTCTCTGTTTCTGTGTCTCTCTGTGTGTCTCTATCTCTGTGTCTCTCCCTATCTCTGTGTGTTTCTCTCTGTCTTTGTGTATCTCTCTCTGTCTCTGCATCTCTCTCTTTCTCTATGTCTCTAAGGCCTCGGGGGCCTCTTTCCTGTCTTCTCCTATTCTATGCCCCTTTCCCTTGGCCTAGGGCTGATCCACACTGGTGCCACTCTGAACATCAATTTCTTCTTTTTCTTTTTTTTTTTAAATAATTTATTTCTTTGTAATCCTAGGTATTTTATTTTATGCACGGAAAAGCATTATTCTTTTTTTTGGGGGGGGGGTTGGGCAATGGGGTTAAGTGACTTGCCCAGGGTCACACAGCTAGTATGTGTTATGCGTCTGAGACTGGATTTGAACTCAGGTTCTCCTGAAGCCAGTGCTGGTGCTCTATCCACTGCACCACCTAGCTGCCCCCATCAATTTCTTCTCCAAGATGGTGCTCTCTATCCAGGAGGTCTGCAAACCTTAATCCCATGGCCTCTAACTTTGAGAAGAAAGGATTTTCCCCAGTTTACTATGGCATACTACATAAAATTCCTATGTGGAACAGTTCAAATGAACAAGGGTGGAATTCGAGAGGAAAATCGGTTTTAAGTTACCTATTATTCAGCTATGAATGTATTGTAAATAAATTGACAAAATTGACAACTGCAATTGACAAAACATGCCCCTCATTGGCCATCATAACTGCACTCATGTGTGCATGCACATGAATACTCATGAACACGGGAAGTCACATTTCTCAACAGACTTTCCCAAGCAGGGAACTCCTTAACAGGCTAGAAAAGGGAAGCCGAGCAGTGTCGGCCGAAGGAGGAGAGCAGGAACTAGGGTCTCCGGAACAGGGCTGGGGGCCTGGGACAAGCTGGCCTGTGGGTCGCAAGGTAACGTGCTCTTCTTGGCCTTGCCTGAGAGCTCAAGAAAAAGGAAATTGGACAAGTGTAGAAAAAGTTAGAAAATGGAGGGACTGTTTGAGTTCTCAGTCTGTAGCGTGCTTCTGAAGCTCTGGCTCTGGAAATGCTCCAGCCATGAAAGGCTTTGAACTCTCGCCCCCAGTTTGTGCCCGTGGCAGTGGTAGCACCATTTTGGCTCCAGAGCCCAAGGGTGGCAGAAAAGGCAGTGGGGGCCAGGAGCGGGCACTTTGTAACCAGAACTAGCTCCTTTTGCCTTCCTGATACAGACACATAAACTAGATGCTGAAGGACAAAGCCTGGGAACGAATGAATGGAGTGGACTTCGTAAAACCCAACCCAACCCAACCCAACTCTCTCTCACCTAGAGAAGCGTAAGACCCAGGAGTGAGGGTACCAGGGCCGAGGCGCCCGCTGCTGCCACCACCTGCCTGCCCAGCAATGTGGCGGGCCTTGGCCCCTGCGGCAGTATTCACATCGATGTCACTGTGGGACCGCTGAAGACTTCCAGGACTGCCTGTCGTTTTACCACTACTGGAAGACACTGGTGGAAAAGGAACAAAGTCGTGTGATAACTGACAGGGGAAGTGGGGAGTGCACCTTAAACCCACTTCCAATCAGCAATGAAAATGAAAATGGTGCCTTGACCAAGATCAAGCCCATCCTGTGCACTCCCACGCCACAGTGTCTCACCTCTCCCAGGGCCGGCCGAGGCACTCCCTGCAGACCATTTGGAGGAGAATGGGCGGCTGAAAGAGAGAAAGCACATCTGTCACCGACGGGCAGATAGGACGCCAGGCTCTCCTCCAGGACCGACACGCTCACACAGATAACTCTGCAAAAGCGTGGTGTAAGTAGGGCCGACACAACGTAAGCGGGATCTGGGATTCTCCGGCGAGGAGCCTGTGACCCCCAGTTAGGATGCCAAGACGGACAGCCCCCCTCCCTTGAGATCTCTCATGCACAGACCCTGGACAGGTGCTCATGAGGCTTGAAGGGCGGTCTTCCAAGCTGCTAGTGATGGGGAACTCAGTTCCCACCCGGGCAGCTTTTGGGAGGGGGGAGGGGGCACGCAGAGGCCCTGTCCCTCCCCCTCCATCGAACAGGCATGGCTACCACACGGGCTTCCTCCTTCTCAATGAGCCCTCTTCATCAGGAGGGAGGTGCGTGCCCTGACTCAACCTTGGCCTCTCACCCTGATCCTGCCCATTCCTTAGGATTCCCTGCCACCCACCAGAACACAGGTATGGGTTTTCTATGCCCTAAACCTTTTCCATCCCTCCTTCCCTGACAAACTCCCAGAAGAGGGATGTCTACACCTGCTAGTGCCCCCCAGAGACCCAGAAAGGGAGTCAGGGGGCAAGAGGAATGAAGACTTCTAAAGGAAGGGAACGGCGACGGCGTGGATGACAAGCGTGGACAAAGGGCCCAGGGTGGCCAGGGCCTGGAGGGCTGTGTCCCCGAGCCATGCTGCACACCATGGATCCCCTTGTTGGGCCCGAGGTCCCCGGCTGTGGCAGGCGACCTTGTCAGATCCTGCGCACAGCGCCCGGGCCCCCAACCCCCCACAGCACCTGGGCTCCCCCCTCCGCCCAGGCACAGCACTTGCAGCACCAGGCTCACTCGCCCGGCTCGCCTCTCACACTCACTTGAGGCTCTCCTGGGAGCTGGAGGACGACCGGTCTGAGGGAGGGAGGGACGCAGCACTGCCCGAGTTCTTGAGGTACGTCTGGAGGCTGCGCTGATAGGAAGGTTCCAGGGAGTTATACAAGGTCTCGGCTTCACCAGGAAAGTGGTTTCTGAGGCCCATGTACGTCCTAGGAAGACGGAGAGCACAGCGGTCACCAGCTGGGTGGGGGTGGCCCACGCCTCTGACCTCCCCCAAAACGTTCCAGTTCAAGGCTCTATTTGAAAGAGAGGAGAATTTTGGAGAGCAATTTGGAACTATGCCCAAAGGGCTACAAAAATGTGCACACCCTTTGATCCAGCAATAGCCCTTCTAGGGCTGTATCCCAGAGAGATCAGACAAATGGGAAAAGGACCCACATGTACAAAAATATTCATGGCAGCTCTTTTTGTGGTGGCAAAGAATTGGAAATTGAGAGGATGCCCATCCATTGGGGAATGGCTGAGCAAGTTGTGGTATACGAATGTAATGGAATACTATTGTGCTATAAGAAATGATGAACAGGCTGACTTCAGAAAAACCTGGAAAGACTTGTATGGTCTGATGCTGAGTGAAGTGAGCAGAACCAAGAGGACTCTGTACACAATAACAGCCACATTACATGATGACTAATATTGTTAAACTGAACCCTTCTCAGCATTACAAGGATCTAAGACAGCTCCAGAGGACTCGGGATAGAAAATGCTGTCCACATCCAAAGAAAGAACTATGGAAGTCGAATCGCTATCACTTATTTTTACCTTCAGTTGAGTTTTGTTTCATCTTTCTGATGGTTCCTCCTATTGGTTTTAATTTTTACTTACAACTTCACTAATGTGAAAATGTTTAATGGGTATGTAAATGTGAAGCCTATATCAGATTGTGCACGGTCTTGGGGAGGGTGGGGGGGAGGAAGGGGGAGAAAAATTTTCAACTCAAAAGCAAATGGAAGTGATTGTTGATAAATCAAAACAAATTAATAAAATTTTAAAAAAAGAGACAAAGAAAGAGAGGAGAGCCTGGAAACTGCCAGGCCGCCCCCTCCCCAAGCAGAGGCATCAATGGGCAGACAAGGAAAAGGAAGCCATGATGCGGGATCATTTCCCATTCTCCACCCAAGGCACCTGGGCAGCCCTTTCTGGGGGGTGCACAGAGACCACGGGGCAGAGCAGAGAAGGACCAGGGTCGGACATGTCCAGACACGGGACAAGAGAGACCAAAGACCCCACGGGCACGAGGCGGGGTCCCCAGCCAAGAAAAAGAAAACCTCACTTTCTGGCTTCCACTCTGGCCTCGGCGTCTGCATCATGAATCCCCTTCTTAATTGTCTCGACCAACACAGCGGCGTGTCTGAAAGACAAACAGCCCTCAGGGCTCCAATGGATGTCATACTGTGCATGTGCCACAGCCCCACTAGGTGTGCCCCTCACCTTGAGGACCCCTGGGACCAAAGTAAAAACTGTGACCCGAGGGGGCCTTGTCACAGCCCAAGAGACTGGCCACACATTAATGGGAGGCAGCCCCTCCATGGAGGAGCTTTGGCCACCAAACCCAGAGCACGACGCCTGGTCCCAGACACTCACTAGCTGTAGGGCCCTGGGCAGGCCGCCTCACTGCTGCCTGCCTCAGTTTCCCCAACTGTCAAATGGGGATAATCCTAAAAGACCCATGAGATATTTGTAAAAAGAGCTCGGCATGGCGCCAGCTCCCAGATGGATGAGGGAGATGAGATGCATAACAAATAAAACAGACTGGGGAGAGGGACGGCTGTCTCCTAGGGGTTCCTGGGGAAAGGCTTCTTGCCCAAGGGAAGACCTGATCTGGGAACAGAAGGGGGCAGGGAGAGTAGGCCAGCATGGATTTGGGGAAGGGAGTAAGGAGGGAGGCCCCACACCGCCCACTGCTCTGGGGGCTTCTCACTCTGGTTTGTGTGAGGGGGAGGGAAGCGGCTGAGCCACACCCAAATCCCCTCGTCCCCTGAGCCCTGTGGCAGGAGCACAGGGGCTGCCCCACATACCTTTCCAAGGAATGCGTCTGCCACTCTTGCAAGAGGAGGTCCAAAAACTCAAAGGAACGCCTGGAAAGGAGAAAACCCAGAGGCGTGAATGCAGATAGGCCAGCGCAGAGAAGGCCAGTGGTGTGCGCATGTGGGTGGGTATGTGGGTGTGGGTGCACTGTGCAGATGTATGTGTGTATGTGCGCACGTGTACATGTGTGCACATGTGTGGGGGTTGTGTGGGCGTGTGTGTGCGCACATGTACAGGTGTGTGAGCACACACGTGGGTGTTTGTGGGTGCACTGTGTAGGTGTATTGCACATGTGTGCACGTGTGGGGTTGTGTGGACATGTGTGTGCACATGTACAGGGGTGCGAGCACACGCACGGGTGTTTGTGTGCATGTGTGCAGGTGTGGGTGCACTGTGCAGGTGTATGTGCACAGGTGTGTGGCTGGGCTCCCATTCCATCAAGGACACACCCCAGCAGGGCTGGAGGAGGATGGGGCTGCTCTCCTCCCCCTCGCCTCCCCACCAACCTCAAAGCCCCCCCCCCCCTCCCCGGGGCACTCACCTCCTCACAGCCACTGACTTAGAGGAACAGTTGCTGGTTATCAGCGGGATAAGCCGGGGCACGTGCGTGTGCTGAAACACATAGAAATGGTGTCTCAACATTAGTGGGGGTGGGATCAGTCCTGAGCAGCAGGGCAGTCATCCCTGCTGACCACCGTCCCCCACCCACGCTAGTGGCCTGGCACACTGCTATTCAGTCTTGTCTGACTCTCTGTGACTACTTCTGGGGTTTTCTGGGCAGATACTGCACTGGTCTGCCATTTCCTTCTGCAGTTCATTTTACAAATGAGGAAACTGAGGCAGACACGGTGAAGTGACTCGCCCATAGTCACACAGCTAGGAAGTGTCTGAGGCCGGATTTGAACTCAGGAAGATGAGTCTTCCTGGCTCCAGTTCTGGTGCTCTGTGCTCCCTGCTGGCACACAGTAGGCGCTTAACGTTTCCTGACTGGATGTAACTGGTGTGGCCAGGGGCCAAGGCAAGGTGGCAGGCGTGGGTGCTGCCAGCACAGGCACATACCAGGCACGGAACAAGCGGGAAGGAAGGAAGGGAGGGAGGAACAGTGGAGGAGAGGCGCCCGCTGCGTCCCAAGGCCTGCCGTGGTGCCCGCGTTAGTTCTGGGTTTGTGATGAGCAGCTCCACCTCATCAGCCCCTCCCCTGGCTCTGAGGGGTCCCCGTGGCCAGGCAGCCCGCATCCCTGTGCAGACGCAGGCCCCGCCCTGCCACACTCTTGAGCACGGTGAAGAAGCACGTACCCGGATGATGAAGCGGATCGCCGCACAGCCAGACGTGGCCATGACTTTGGCGCTGTTGGGGACCAGGTTAAAAAGGGTAGGCACGATGGCTTCGGCGCCATGGTCAAACTTGTTGCCTAAGACCGTGGAGAGATGTCTGTGCAGTGAGAAGAGAAAAGTGGGACGTGTACAATCAGGATGCTGGCGTAGCCCCACAGGGATAGGAATGATGGAAGAAGAACACCTCTGGGCAGGGCAGATGGACTCCATGAGCACTTACTAAGTGCCGACTATGTGCCGCCCCCTCCTTTGGGTACATGCCCAGGTGGGTGTCTGGAGCCCCTCCAGCACCTGCCATTTTCCCCTCAGCCGCCACTGCTGACCACTTTACATAGCATTTCTCTAGTGGTCGCAGTGGCCTGGGGCAGCCCGGCTTCTCCCCCGGGGGACCATCTGCCAAAATGCTCAGAGTGTCTGCCGGTGGAGGCCTGCCCCACCCCCACTGCACCTGTCCAGACTTTTCACAGCCCACAACAGCTTGGGGGCCAGAGAGGTCACTATGACCTATGACCTACGTCCAGGCAGGCAGCAGCAACAACACGAAAATGGACCAAGGCAAACGGAGGTGAGCTGTGAGCACGGTGGCACGGGGAGGGGCTGGGGGCTCTTCTAAAATAAGCAAATATGTCTTTAAGGTGCCCACTGTGTGCCAGGCCACAGTCCTGAGGCCAAAATAGCTGAGGGGCAGCAGTACGCCCCTTCCCCACAGCGGCACCGGCGGAGGCAGAGGGCCCAAGGACACCTGGTACCCTGGGCTGAAGGGAGCACCAGGCCAATGTGACCTGTTCCTGTGGCAGCATAAGGCTGCAAGCGGGCACCACAGGGCACAGAGGGAAGGGCCTGGAGGCTGGGGGGGATGCAATGGGGCTCCCTCTTGCACTCCCATGCAGACAGGTGACCACCGGGAGCCTATGGCCGGCCCTGGTCTGGAGCCAGAAGCCCAGGTGCGATGACAGGGTGGGTGGGGAAGGGGCTGGGAGGCCGACACTCACGCGACAGTGATGCAGGCTTCGCGTACCACCTGGGACCGCAAATCCTTGGCGGAAAGCTTCAGGGCACCGTCCAACAGGCGCAGATGCTGGAAGAAGCAGTCGTACTGGGCCGCGCCAGCCAGCAACAGGGACCGGACTTTCTTGAGCTGCAATAGAAAGACAGATGTGAAGGCGGCTGGTGCAGAGCCCCTTGGCACAGCCTGCATGAGAAGACCACGGCCCTGCAGTCCCCTACAGAGAACAGAAGATGATCACCACCCCCACCCCTGAACAGAATCCCGGGCCTGCTGGTGGGGCCGGCCCGCCACCCTGAGGAAAAGCTCACTGCGCAGACCATTGTTCTGCAAGACTGTGGGCGCTGTTTGGACTCCCATTTTAGAGAGGAGGAGACTGAGATTCTCAGGGCTCTCTCCCCTGCAGCCTGCAGAGGGAGGGAAGCCACAAACTGGGTCCCGGGGACCCTCTCATTGGCCAAAGCTGAGACAGGGAGAAAGCAGAAAATTGTGAAAAGCAGAGAACGTCGGCAGAATGCAGCTCCTGCACCTGCTGTCAAGGGCAAAGGAGAGGGTGTATAAACAGCAGCGATGCCCATGTTCTGCTCGACAATCTGCCAACCACCACACCGCCTTCTCTGCATGAGGGCTTCCGGTGCCCACCGGCGCTTTGTGGGGAGGACTCGCCAGTGCCCGTCTCTGCCTTCTGGGAAGGACTCTCTGCTGCCTTCTGGGGAGGACTCTCTGCTGCCTCCTGGGCAGGACTTGCTGGTGCCCACCTCTGCCTTCTGGGGAGGACTCATTGGGTGCCCACCTCCGCCTTACAAGGTTCTCTCTCTCTTCTAGGCTTTAAATGGCCTTTCTCAATATGGATCCCCTAAATGTTTCTCTAAGTTATCACCTACCACCTTTAATGGTTAAATTCTAAAAGCTGAAAGCACTGGCGCCATGATCTCAGCCAGAGGCAATGCTACCAGCCTAGCACTGGAAGGTCATGGTCCCTCTCCGATTGGGGATTTTCACCTGCTATCTTTGGGCTCATGGGAGTGGTCAATATTGAGGCTGGCCACTTATGAAATAGGGGATTCTGTCCTCAAGAGGACGCACCATCTGGGGGTCATTTCCTATGCCCAGGACACAGTCAACTGCCCAGAATCTGAGGGCGGTGCCTCTCAACATGGGACTGCAACCAGATTAAAATCAAATTGGAAAATGTTTAACAAAATAAAGGAAGAGTGGAAGCCTTTTCCCAAGCCCTCTCTAGTCCAGGCTCCACATAGAGCCCTGCTGTTAACTCTATCCTGTTCTGTGGCTGCCCCCTCAGGGCCCTGGGCCCTTCCCTGGATGTTGTCTCCCCCATTAGAGGGGGAGCTCCTCAAGAGCAGGGCCCGTGCTCCCCAGAAGGTTCCCCATCTATTCCTTCTCTACTTATTTCTGGGAACCAGAGTCCAAGCGTCCCGTCTCTGCTGCCAGCTTCATTCCACTTCTCACACCCTTATACATTCTCAACTCTTCCAATTTGCTGTCTCCACTTGTGTTTTCCAGGTCATCCCCAGGACTCCTTTCCCTGTTCCGGCATCTTCTGTTACTAGTTTGAACACATGCATTCCTCACAGAGGCCCTCCCTTTCAGATGAGGAGATGGAGGCCCAGGAAGGGAAACTCCCAGCCTCAGCCTCCATTGCAATCTTTGAATGGTCAAGGGGAAGATGCCAGCGTGGAGATGGTGGGCCCTGGTCTGTGGAGGCCGGAACTTCTGCCCCGTCCCTTTGCTTCCACTGATGTGGCCTGCCTGGAGGAGATGAGAGGAGACACAGGCCCAGGGCATCCCAGGGACAAGGCTAAGCAAGGCGCATCTCCTCTGGCAAAATCACCCAAAGAGCAATGACAAGTATTCACTGACTGATACGTGCGCCAGCCAGGGAGGTGAGCCACAGAGGCCTGTGTCCCCTACCATGTCCACCTGAAACAAGAGGAAAAGCGAGCGCTCAACAAAGGCAAAATCAAAGAGGTAGAGGCGGACAGAACACTTACCGCGTTCGCACGCTGGTCCCAATCATGCTTGTCATCAGATAAAATTTCCCTGATTTTATTCAACGTTTCTTCAAGTTCACGACTAGAATATATCTAAAAATAACAATCATAGTGACAACTATTCAGGTGTCTGTCCTAACAGAAGTCGGCATCACTGGGGGGTTTCCTAGCCTTTGCTGCTTGCCGAGTCCCCAGCCGGCTACCCCACCGCACTCTGGACACTCCCACCCCACCCCCACTTGCCACGCACTCCTCATGTGCCGGTGGTCACCTTCCATTAGAAAGGAAGCTCCTGCGGGCAGGGACAGTTTTTTTGGCATCTCTAGGCTGAGCACACAGTCACATACCGAGTATCAATAAATGCTCAATACAGGTATCACCAAAGTACAGGAAATGTGGTCTTTGTCACCACCACAGACGTCTCAAAAGAGGTCATCTTTGTAAAGTGCACATTAGCACAGCACCCGGCACACAGTAGGGGCTTAATACTCCCCCTCTCTCCTTCCCTCTTCTGCTTCCTCCCCCCTCCCTTCCCTCTTTCCTGCTTCCTTCCTTCCTCCCTCCTCTCCTCCTCTTCCCTTCCTTCCTTCACAGCTCTGGTGAGCAGGGACTGTCTTACACTTTCTGACGCATGCTCTCATGCACGTAGCACAGTGTTTTTGATGCAGGAAGGGCTTAATAAATGCTTTATCCATTCATTCTTGGAAGAAGAGTGCATTATTTTTCGAACAAAAGAGAAACGTTTTCTAGAGTTTCAGAAAAAAAAAGGGGGGAGGGCAGTTTTTTCGCTCAAAAAGACTCAAGCTTTGCTCCATCTTAAGCAAACCATGTCTACAAAAAATTCTCTGAGTTGTCCCTCCAGAGAACCCACCACTGAATAAAGCTGTGGAAACAAAATGCATTTGCAAGGAAGGTCTCCATGAGATTTCAGAGTCCTGACCCAGGACAACCCACCAGATTTCAAAGCACATAAAACACACCTGAACGCCAGTTAAAATTCTACATCCCACTGGCCCTCAGCAGTGCAGTGTCCAGCACCCAGCAGGCGCTTAATAAAGGCCTGCTGACTGCTGCCCTCCACTGCAGAGTTTGCAGGGGTGAGAAAGGCGTAAGGAAATGGAGGTTAGCGGGAATACCTGGGGTTCCGCGAATGGACAGACTGCCCGGGGGAGGATGGACCCGAGTGGGCAGACACCCACCGGCAGCTGCCGCAATGGTCCCAGCTGGGGTGACCAGGGCCCGCCCCAGGGACTGGAGAAAAAGGGATGCCTTCAAGAGAGATTGTGAGAGTCGAAATCAGAAGACCCGCATCGTGCCAGGGCTGACAACTTACACAAGACCACTGGGAACCAGAGCAAGGGCATGGCAGGGGCAAAGCCCACATGGAGGCACTCTAATCTGAAGGAATGGCCCTGGCACAGAAAGGCTGGGGAGGCCTGGGCTCCTGGCCAGGTGATGAGAGCAGGGTCCCAGGGCCGGGCCAGGGAAAAATGAAGATCAGACATGGGTGACGAGAGTGAGAGAGGAGCCAAGGACGGCTCTGATGCAGGACACAGGGGGAAGGGCACGGCCAACCTTCGACGTCCACAGTGAAGGTGCAAGGCGGGGGGCTGGGCCCAATGATGTCAGTGCTGGGAACAGCCAACGACAGCGCAGATCCCAGAGTGGGCAAGGAGAGGGCCAGTCCCACCGTCAGTGGGCATGCCAAGGTCAGAGAGCGCGCTGAGCAGACTCGGCGAGGGAGAAAGGTCAGACAGGCTCTCCATGTCGCCCCCAAAGACTCTTGTTCTACACAGGAGAGGCCTTTGCCGTGGTCACTCCTCTTTGGCCGTTCTAACTCACAGGACACCTACAGCATTCTGGATCAGTAACGACAGGAGAAGGGATGAGAAAGGGTTCCATGAGGCATGTGCCTTGTCTGCTAGGGATGGAGGATGCAGAGAGGTCACTGCCTTCGTTCTCTGTTCAGAATTTAAAAAAACCTTTTACTTGGTAAAATAAAAGCTCTGATGCAACAGGGTGCTCCCCACAACCACGCCAAGATGCAACAGCAGGACGTGCTTAGACGATGACCAAGTTCTCATGGAGACAAATGATCCCTATGGGTGGGCACGAGTTCTGTGGAGAAGTCATTGAGACGAGCCGGGCCATGCCACAGACCCCTTAGGTGACGCGGCAGAAGCCAAAGGATTCCTTCCTGGAGGGATGCTTTAAATCAATAAGATGTAATATAGACCATTTCAAAGGAAGCCAATTAGAGTGAAATACAGTTCTCAAAATATCTTAAAATACTATTTTTCCTTTTTTTTTTTGCCAATTATGCGTAAAAACAATTAACATCATTTTTTAAAATTTTGAGTTCCAAATTCTCTGCCTTCTTCCTTGAGACAATATGCAATTTGCTCAAAGTTATACTTGTACAATCATGCAAAACATATTTTCACATTTGTCAAGTTGTGAAAAAGATGGACCGAAAGAAAAAAGCATAAAAAAAGTGAAAAAAAGTCTGCATCAATCAGCATTCAGACTCCTTCGGTTCTTTCTCTGGAGACAGAGAACATTTTTCATCCTAAGTCCTTCAGAACTGTCTTGGATCACTGTTGTTGAGGACAGCTAAGTCATTTGCATCTGATCATTGTAGAATATCACTGTTACTGTGCACAGTGGTGTCCTGGTTCTGCTCACTTCACTCTGCATCAATTCACGTAAGTTGTTCCAGGTTTTTCTGAAATCCATCTGCTCATCATTTCTTCTAACATAATAGCATTCCATTACATTCACATACCACAACTTGTTCAGCTATTCCCCAATTGATGGGCATCCCCACAATTTCCAATTCTTTGTCACCACAAAGAGAGGTGCTATGAATATTTTGGTACAAATAGGTCCTTTTTCCTTTAAAAAAAATCTCTTTGTGATACAGACCTACTAGTGGTATTACTGGGTCAAAGGATATGCAGTTTTATAACCCTTTGGGCACAGTTCCAGAATGGTTGAATCGGGGCAGCTAGGTGGCACAGTGGATAGAATACCAGCCCTGGATTCAGGAGGACCTGGGTTCAAATCCGGTCTCAGACATGTAACACTTACTAGCTGTGTGACCCTGGGCAAGTCACTTAACCCCCATTGCCTAGCCAAAAAAAAAGAACTGGTTGAATTGGTTCACAATTTCACCAACAGTACATTAATGTCCCAATTTTCCCACATCTCCAATACTGATCATTTTTCCTTGCTGTCACGTTAGCCAACCTGATAAGCGTGAGGTGGTACCTCAAAGTTACTTAAATTTGCATTTTTCTCATCAATAGTGATTTAAAGCATTTTTCATGTGACTATAGATAGCTTTGATTTCTTCATCCAAAAACTGCCTGTTCATATTCTTTGACTATCTATGGGGGAATGACTTGTATTCTTTTATATATTTCAGAAATGGGGACTTTGTATAAATGTCAGAGAAGATGCGGGAAAATCGGAACATTAATACATTGTTGGTGGAGTTGTGAAATGATCCAATCATTTTGGAGAACAATTTGGAACTATGCCCAAAGGGCTACAAAAATGTGCATACCCTTTGATCCAGCAATAGCACTTCTAGGGCTGTATCCCAAAGAGATCAAACAAATGGGAAAAGGACCCACATGTACAAAAATATTCATAGCAGCTCTTTTTGTGGTGGCAAAGAATTGGAAATTGAGAGGATGCCCATCAACTGGGGAATGGCTGAGCAAGTTGTGGTATACGAATGTAATGGAATACTGTTGTGTTATAAGAAATGATGAACAGGCTGACTTCAGAAAAACCTGGAAAGACTTGTATGGTCTGATGCTGAGTGAAGTGAGCAGAACCAAGAGGACTTTGTACACAATAACAGACACGTTATGCGATGACTAATATCGTTAAACTGAACCCTTCTCAGCATTACAAGGATCTAAGACATCTCCAGAAGCCTAAGGATGGAAAATACTGTCCACATCCAAAGAAAGAACTATGGAAGTTGAATTGCTATCACTTATTTTTACCTTTTGTTGAGTTTTGTTTCATCTTTCTGATGGTTCCTCCTATTGATTTTAATCTTTACTTACAACTTCACTAATGTGAAAATATGTTTAACAGGAATGTAAATGTAAAGCCTAAAAAAAAAAAAAAGAAACGAGGCCTTCGTTAAAGATACTTGATGTAAAAATTATTTCCCAACTTTCTGTTTTCCTTCTAATGTTGGTTGCATTTGTCTTATTAGCGAAAACCCTTTTTAATTTAATACAATCAAAGTTATCCATTTTGCATTTCATAATGTTCTCTATCTTTCATTTGGTCATAAATTCTTCCCATCTCCATAGATGTGACAGGTAAACTATTCCATGCTCTCCTAATTTACTTATGGTATAACCCTTTATGTCTAAATCATGCCCCCATTTTGACCTTATCTTGGTATATGGTGTAAGATGTTGGTCTATACCTAAATTCTGCTGTACTGTTTTCCAGTTTTCCCAGCAGTTTTTGTCAAATGGTGAGTTCTTGTCCCAAAAGCTGGCATCTTTGGATTTATCAAACATCAGATTACTACGATCATTTATTTCCTACTGTGTCTTGTGTAACTAATTGGTTCCACTGATCTACCACTCTATTTCTTAGCCAGTACCAGACTGTTTTGATGGTTACTGCTTTATAATACAGTCAAGAGATCTGGTTTGGCTAGGTTACCTTCCTTCACTCCCCCCCCCCATTAATTCCCCTGATATTCTTGACCTTTTGTTCTTACAAATCAATTGCTTGTTTTTTTTCTACATCAAATCAATTTTTGATAGTCTGATTGGGATGGCACTGAATAAGTAAATTAATTCAGGTAGAATTGTCATTTTTATCATATTGGCTCAGCCTACCCCTGAGCAACTGACATTTTTTAAACTGTTTAGATATGACTTTATGTATGAAAAGCATTTTGTAACTGTTCATATATAGTTCCTGGGTTTGTTTTGGCAAGTATTTTATATTAGCTACAATTATTTTAAATGGAATTTCTCTTTCTATCTCTTACTGCTGGACTTTGTTGGTTATAGAAATGCTGATGATTTGTGTGGGTTTATTTTATACTA